GAAACGGAGAATTATCGGGAGAAACATTATACGATGTTACTGGTACATGGAATAATTTCTGAGTGCGTGCTCTCCCTATCATAAGCGATATCATGTTCAATAACTCACCAGTGTCCTATTTTGCATTTAATAATATATAAAAAAAACCCCGAACCCATGTAGTGCGTGTATTGTGTGAAGTGTCAACTTTAAAATATCTTAATTTATGGTCGTAAGATGAAAGTAGGATGAAAGTAGGCGCATTAGGCCCATTTTAGAGATATAATGTTTTAAGAACCGCTTTTGAATAGATTCGTTTCTATTCATATGTACATCATAATACGGGGCCCATACAACCGAACAGTACTTCAATACACCACGAATAATTTAGTTATACATTAAAATGATGCTATCTGGATTCCTAAACGGTTGTAGCGTCCTGAACAGAAAATTCAAATCATATTAAAATCATTAACTATTTTTAACTATTATATTAAAAAAACTTGATTTCGTCAACGTACGCAACACACTGAGAATGAATTAAAAGCAAAAAAATCATTAATAAAAACAGTGAACCTCAATGGACCCAGATCGGAACCTTGTGGAACGCCAGATACAAGCACAAATAGAAATGACTCATATCAGTATACTGTCACCAATAGAGTTTTGTTCATCATAGATGACTCCAGACAACACAACAGGTTACCATGCATGCCCAAGTGCTACATCTTCCGACAGAGTATGTTATGATTAACCCTATCAAAGGCCTTGGCAAAATGTAAGCACTGAATCAACTTGTACTCCGCTGTTCAACGCTAAATTAATATAATTAACATATGTGAGATATTGGATCTATTTCGCATTCATTTAATGAAAAATGCTTAAAAAGTCCACTTGGTTCATTGTACCTTGAGATGGGATTTAAACCTTTCACCTTTCACAGTCCGGGCGACTGCTCTAACCACTGAACTACCCAGGATCTAACAGGACCGACGATTCTTTCAAGCATTTGTTACTTTTTCGCTACTACAGAGCTACTTCTCATCAATGTTCAGGCAATCGACCCAAACAGCCGAAAGAAATATTCTTTACAAATATTGAAACTTTCGATAAAGATGAAAAATCTTATTTTGATGTAATTATTATCCTTAGAAATGCGATGTAATTTTATTTCTTCGCAATCAGTTTAACATTAGTGATTTTTAGATAAGACCCCTTCAGCACAAGCAATAGCTGTCAGTGGGCAAATTACCTTTCAGTCGTAGTGACGCTAAAACTCTTGTAATACTTAACAGCTCGAAGAAAATATGAAACTATAAAGATTGAGATGTCTACTAGACTAACGCACATATTATAGTCGAGTAGAAGTAACAACTCGAGTTGTAGAAAAAGTCACTCGTTTTTATGAATGATGAAAACTCAATTAAAACTTAAAATAGTATTCACAAATTATTATTAACAATTTAATCAGTAATTTTACGTGTTACAAGAAAAACTTAGATGACAGACAATGACGTAACAAATATGTTATAGGGCTATTAATTATAGGGCTGTTAAGTAAAAATAATTTCAGCTTTATTACTAATTTCCATTTTATTATAAAAAAATTGAAGTTTTATGAGTGTTTCTGGTAATTTATAACAGTACCAAATATTACTCATAAAATTACTAAGTTATGTGCAGTATCCTGGTGAGAAATACAAATTTTATGTAATTTTTTTGTCATCGAAGTTGTGATGACCCTAATTTGCTTTGTTTACATTTATTCTTCATCGAATTTGGCTGGAGTTTAGTAACTTTTCTTTGTAACTTCATTCAAATTCTTGTTTAGGTATTAGATAAAAATATATGCGTAAGTTATTAAGTAATAATTTACGCAAATATTACTCAAGTAATTACTTTCACCTGACTATAAATACTATTGTGAGTGTGGTATAATCATAAACATCCTGTACCGTCTCGTCGTAGTCGTCATAGCCGCACCTCAATACTTCGCTTTGTATGAACTCCGGGCTCACGAGCACTTCTTTGTTTTCCTGCAACGATACTTTTCGAAATATTTTCTTTTGTTAAGACTACTCACTCCTTGTGACTACCACCATAAAAATACTTACCTACACGGTGTGCTTTCTTCCACCACATTATAAGATATTTTCTTTTCATGTACTATTTTTAAACAACTCTAGAATGTAAGAAAAAACCTTAAGAGCCCTATTACAAATACGAACAAACTCGCTACGCGGTCATACATTTTTATTGAAATTGGATAATAAATGAATTCTTAAAAGTATGAAATATTTAAGTAATATTTATGAAGTAATAATCATTCTGGTACAGTTTTATTAAAAAACATTATTTTATTTTCGAAGTTTTAAGTTACGACTTTTTTTAAATATGGAATTTAATAAATTATATTTCAAAATTTCGGGGCCTCTACGACCTATACGACTTTATAAGATACTGGCAGTTTTCCCGCGACTTTACACGCGTAAGTTATAGTCTTTGTCAACGTAGCTAGCCGTAGGTAAAAGGATTTTTGAAGTCCGGTCCAGTAGTTTCGGAGCGAAATCTTCCCTCTTTATATGTAATATATTAGTAAGTATAGATAACACTCTATTTTGTGCTACTAGCAAAATCAAAAGACTCAAAAAGTCCATCTTTATTAATTTTGGGTTTAATTAAAAAGTAAAAGCATAATTAACAAAAAGCGAAACCGCTACGAACGATGTCTTTACGAATGAAATAAAATGGTTACATTTTAATCAAAAATCTAATAAAATGTAATAAGACGTTACACATATTACTTAGCGTTAGTCGAAATTTAATGTTCTTCTTCGGATCTCAAAATTGATGACAGATAGTTAAAGACAAGGGTTGATGCGGAAAATATCTACAATAAATAAATATATTTTGACTCAAATAAAACTCCGATTTAAGCGAACAAACGATCTTAACCATGGTTAAGATCGTTTGTTTGTAGTAGTACTACGGTGTACACAAATAAAAACAAAATGAATTACACGCTCGTTTTAGAGACGTTGGATTTTTTTTAAATGTGCGAACGTAAATAACAACTGATTTCCAATTTATTGCTTATATTAAAAGATACAAGGAAGTTTGCAATTAATTTGTACTTAAATTATCGTCAAGTTAGAATAAGACAAACAGTTGGGGACCACTTAATAATAAATATTCAAGCCGCCATTGCCGCTCTGGGACTCATTTCAGCTATTCATTCCAAGCCTACGAGAAAGGAATGCTTATTTTTGTATATACGAGTATAGAAGCATTTGTATGCAATCCACTAGCGCAAATCCTTGCAAGAGAAGTATTATATTGGCCACGTCTACTGAATGCATTTAATATATGAAACAATAAAGCAAATGAAATCGTCTTTAAAATTTATATATGATATTTAAGATAAAAAATGTTGTACTTACTTGTACCTCTTTTAACTAAGCTACAAATAGCTCTGAGTCAACCTTTCTACGACGTATCAAGTTTTTAATACACCGTAGTACTAGTACGAACATTTTATAAATTACACTTAAATTCAGTTACATTTTTTCTCTTAGTTTTCTTCTTATATTGATTTGTTGAAAAAGCGAGACTGAGCGACAAACACTATTACTTTTTTTACGGTTTAAAATGTAACATATCAATAATAATAGACTATATTGCATTCAAAATAACATAGCTTGCAGGAAAAATAATAATTAATTCTTATTCTTAATTATATTGGCAGTCTTATTGCTAAACAGTACTGTCTTCCAGGAAACCCATGACGAACAATTACTTACTATTACGGTCAGTCATAAGACCAAAACTTTTCTTTCAGTGAGCTCGTGAGGTACCCAAATATCCAACTTTTTTGTGTACTGTACTGTAAATGCGTCAAAACTATTTTGTGGTCAATCCTCAGTTCTTCAGCTACGTCGTAACTACTAATGAGCCGATCTTGCTCCACTTTTAAAAAAATTGTATCCATTTTATCCGTAACAGGGCGACCGGAAGGACGTGCATCTTTGACATCAAAATATCCGGGCTGAAAGTGCTACTCACAAAAACTGTACTTGATCCTTAAACGTCACAAAATTTTCGTGATTTACGTTGCATTTTTACATTTTTCATAACACAATTTTAAAATTTATCGAATTTGTTCAATAGATTCACTCGTTTTGGTGGTAAGAACAACAAATGAAATTCACACATTTTCCTAATTTAAATTCGGAGTTATTATCTTTAAAATTTAAACTTTAAATGATACCGAAACCAGTCAGATACAGAGCATATATAGCCAGAAATATTTTATTACAAATTAATGTAAACTTCATGCGAAAAGATTTTTTCCCGAACCTAATAGTTTATGGACAGCCCTTAAAGACATAGACTGTGTCTTATGGCGTTCGTAGCCTAATGTGCAAGTGACCCAAGGCGGTTAATCAAATCAAATCAGATTAATTTATTTGGTTTACCAAAGTACGATCGTAAGCCTTCCTATCTATGTTTACATAGATAGGAAGACTTACGAACGATTAATAAACAATTAACAATAAATAGAATAGATGAAACATACATGAAAAAAATATATACCCATTTTCCGTTAACCACAACAGGGATGGCTGGGTAAAATAAAGAAATTCTATTTAGTTCGTCAGTTTCATATTTATTTATTATCTGACTGACTTAACAAGATAACAAGCATTAAAGTCGAAGAGTGGAAACAATAAAATCGAAGAGTGGAGTTCGCTACGTCACAGCTTTGTAGAAAGTGTACAATGGCGTGACCTCATGCATTTTAACTCAACATATTGCCATATTTTATTTATTATGCAAAAAAATATAAAATACGTATTTAATATACGTATTTAATAAAAAAGAGTTAATCATCATCCCTATTGTAGCAAAAAGGTAACTAGCTCAGTATAAACTTATCTTTTTCTCCGCCACAAGGGTACAAAGAGACCGGCGCTGATTTCTCTTTAACTGACAATACTCATTATCAGGTAGTGGTCAAAGAAATGAACCGTCTCGGCATGCTGGTGGACCTCTCGCACGTGTCCGAGCGCACTATGCGTGACGCACTGTCAGTGTCACGTGCGCCCGTCCTCTTCTCGCACTCGTCGGCGCGTGCGCTGTGCAACGTCACAAGAAACGTTCCCGACACAGTACTGCGTCTACTCGCTGCTAACAAAGGACTCATCATGGTCAACTTCTACACCTCTTTCCTCACCTGCAGGGACACGGCTACCGTTAAAGACGCAATAGGTTGGTAAAAGCAGTCTCAATTACTAACGTAGAAATGTTATAAATAAATCCTTTCCGCCAGCGTGGCTTTGCTGGCGTAAATTACGTAATATTTTGCTCTACAAACTTTTAAGCCCTATTTCTCCGAAATAATAATGAAGTAAATAGTCCAAAAATAAGATTCATATTTCAATCTAAAAGAATGACGGATGAATGACGGATTTATATACAAAGGTTTAACCCTTTTGGGCTATGAATTTCCAGAAATCTTTCTTTTTTTAGTAAACGTCTCCTTCACAAAATAGCTCTATTGATCAAAGATCATGGGTCGAACTTTTCGGCGATGATCAACTAGTCAATCAAGATAAACTGTTAATAAATTTTATTATTTATATCCTTCAAAATTTATTTTAATTTTACATTATTCATCTACAAAATCATTATTTGTATATACACTTCAATCAATTACCGTCTTATTATAAAACTAGGAACAACGTTGGTACTAGGTTTAAACCAACGCCAAAATTTACCATTTTACGCCAAAAACACTGTCAATATGTAATAATACTTAACCGGGCAAAATAAATCTAGATCCGTCTATTTGACGTTTTCTAATCATTGTTAATTTACCTTCGGTGGCGAATCGTTGAAACCAAGTACAAACTTTAGTTTTATAATAAGGTAAAATATTAATTACTAATGATACAATTGAAATGGTGTTTCAGCTCACATAAATCACATCCGCGACGTAGCTGGAGTAGACAGCGTAGGTCTAGGAGCTGGCTACGATGGAATAAATTAGTAAGTTGTTATAGAAGTATTTATTGAAGTATTCTACACCTCTCCCTCCAAATATCTCATTGGGCCCGATTGTACTTCAAAAACCATTTTTAATTAATTACTCCCAGTCCCATTTAATTATTGTTAAATATTTAGCAATTTTCTCTCGTTTTTATTTATGAAATAAAAATCTTTTTTAATATAAAATGAGTTATATTACGAGAAGAGATAGTATAAATAGTGAACTTTAGTGGTAACATTGTATTTTTTTAATCAAAAAACTTCATAAAGTCGTGTTTAGACTGTTAATATAAGATAAATATAAGACAGCGTCACCATACATTGCTCGGATTCCAAGATGAGTAGCTAAAGCCCCCATATTATGGAGTATCTGAGACAACAATGGTACCACAACACCCAGACCCGAAACGTTTCAGAAAAGTTCATTTTCTACATAGTCGGGACTCAAAATGGGTAGACCACAAACATCACACCACCGACGTACGTACCACACTTTTAATTACAGCTTCTTTAAATAAAACTGATTGGAAGTTAATTATTTTTAGTATCGTAAAGCCTTCGTAGCTCCTTGAGTAGCTCGGTAGCGTCGTGGATAAATAGCGGCACACAATCGTTGCTGTTAATCAACTTTCGCAAGGGTCCGTCACGGGATGAGTGACCAAAAATGAATATCTCAAGCTACTCCGTGCTTCGTTAAGCCGTTAGTTGCATTTGCAATTGTTAATACCCCCCAATCCGCATTGAACCAGCGTGAGGGTCATGACTAGGGTTGCCAGATTGTCGGGATTCGTCTGGATTGTCCAGACATTTCGAATGATGTCCAGAATCCTGAAAAAAACAAATATGTCCCGACAAAAATTGTAATTCAAATTCCAAGTTCATATGGCAATATAAAAATATATAATTAGTAGGTATATTAGCCGTTTATATGTTTTATTATTATGTGATCTCATAATTTGCCAAAAAGTAGATACTTGCTTTTATTTTAAAATTTAATTAATAAAGAGTGGATTTTTGATTAGTAATTTTTTGTCCCGACTGTGATCCCGAAATCCCGACCTTTTCAAATTTTGCCTAGATATTTTAGTCTCTCCATCTGGCAACCCTAGTCATGACCCATCCTCCTTAACCATCCATAAGGCCGACCTGAGCCCCTGCAGCTGGCATGTAAAAGGGCTGATTAAGAAAAGAGTTTATTACTCGATTATATACACTAGAACAAGTAACCACATTTAAATGAAATTCGCATTGTTATAGTATATCTGGTATTAAACATTTTTATATGTTGATGAAAGAGCCCGTAGGGGAATTCGAACTAAAAGCCGTCGCTGGCTAAAAATCGTTTACAATTTTTTATTTATGAAGAAGGTAATATGCTGCTGTTATATTTTTTTGTATGGTTACTTGACAATACGCTACTAAGTGGACGATCCTCGTAACCTCTGATTAAATTCCCGGTCGAGTCAATGTAGATTACCTTTCTATGATATCCTCTTTTCAAATACTCCGTTGTACAAGTTTTAGCACTATAGCTACCCATGTTAGAATTCTTACAAATCTGAACAATGTATGTGTCTCATATTTAATATTTATTAAGTCGTCATTTATGTAAATCAGTGCTATTATTGTTCCACGAACAAAGGCCTCAACAAGCATCCAATTTGTCCCCACTCACGATCTGTCAAAACAAACTAGAAAACGCGGTTCCAATATCGTTAAATATTTGAGAACTATCTCTCTACATGTGGAAAACTAAACGAAGTTGTTGGAATGTATCTAGTATGTAAATATAGATACATATACATTTCCTAACGATTACTTTGCTGATTACAAATCTAAATCGTAATTAAATACCCCATAACAGAGTTTTCCGGGTTGTACTACAGGCTGCAATAAAATTAGGTATTCGTTGTGAAATCGCTTCGATGTATCGGGCCGACTCACATCGACGTAGAAACGACTTGTTTTGAATTTACTGTAAGATATCTTAGCACTTGGATACACTTGGCTAGATTCTATACACACGGTTTCTTAGTTGTTTTATAATCGAACAAAAAGACTACTTGCTATTAAATAAGTAATAGTAGAATAGTATAAATAAAAAATATCCAAGTATCTCAGTGGCGTAACAGATAAGCGCCGCGGCCCGAGATCGTTGTTGTTAACTGGTCCAGCGTGGAGGGTCATAGCCCATCCTCCTTAACCATCCAAAAGGAAGGCCTGAGCCATACCTAGCCATTCCTCTGTAGAAAAAATGCTAATCGAGCGCCTAATTATCTATGACTCTAGTAATAGGCTGCGACATCTTAACGATGGTATGGCGATATTTAGTCATTTTAATACATATACGACGTTATTTACAACGACGAACTGATGATTAAGAATTATTCTGGATTTAGTAATGTTATCAACTCGTTTATCTACCAAAAGTTGAGTCAAAGTGGTCAAATAAAATATCACCATAACATCACTAAGATGACGTATCCACTAGAGTCATAAAAATTCGAGTGGAAAGTTAGGCGATGATGATGACAGATGATGTGATTTATTCAAATGTCAATGTCTACAGCACACCTCAAGGCTTAGAAGACGTCTCCTCATATCCTTTGCTCTTCGCGGAGCTTATGGAAGAGGGATGGAGTATAGAAGATCTAAGAAAACTTGCAGGGCTAAACTTGCTGAGGGTATTGAGCGCCGCCGAACGAGTGGCACGCGAATTATCATCTGCACACGTGATGCCCTTTGAAGACATCCCACCGCGGCCGCTTGATGTTCACAATTGTTCTAGTCAAGATTTATAGACTGACTCATCTATTTCCATATTCAAATAGTTAGTTTCTCATTTTCATAAGTATTTTCAGTGGCAATTTATTACTAAATAGAAATAATTTGCCAGTGTAATCAAGACATGCGTATCCTTAGAATACCATCTAACATGATCTCAGATTTGTGATTATTTTGACATCTCCAAGCATTTTCCTATTTATTAATTAATTAATATCATTGTCATTATGTTAATTGTAAAGAATGTATTTTTCGAATTAAGCTCCGAATTTATATACCTAAGTGTTTTACATCATAAACAGTGCGGTGTGACTTAATGACGAGTAACAACGCGACAGCATATTAGGTAATACTTTTTCGATACTATTAGTTCTTTCGATTATTTTTCGATATATATTTACTTTCGGGTGATTATTATTTAATATCCTAAAGAAATCAGTTCGGCTTCAGTTAGCAGTTTTTTGAATTAATAAACCTATTTTATTGTAAATAAAATTTGTCACTTTTTAAAAGTTTGAATTCAGTTTTTTTTATTATAATTAACTAATCCACTCTTTCAAAATTAACTGCCGCGTAGGTAAGTCCGTTGTCAATTATCACCTTTAATTTAATATTTTTAAAAAAACTTGTATGCTTTGCTTATTTATCTTAACACAAAATATATTTTTAATAAATATTTAGAGTAGACTGAAAACACAAATTCCGATTAACAAAAGTACCGAAATAATAGAATTGACCAATAGCAATTCGTGGTAGAACTTATCTATCTCTCTTACTATTCTCTGAATATTGTTGATCATTAGTGAAAATTTATTAATAGATTTGTTATATGATATCGATAAACATTTGATGAATCCAATAAAAATAGCACTTAAATTTTGACTTTTCGATAGAACTTTATAATATGTTACCTAGTATAAATATTTAATTGTATCTTTGAATTCAGTTGTCTTAATTGCTTTATTTTAATACTAAATCGATAAATCTTTATATAATAGCTTTACTACTTATCGACGACCAAAGATAGAGTGAAATAGTAGAACATAGATAAGTATAGAATTTAAATAATAAAATTGTATTTATTATTATTATTAAACCTCCTAATGCAATATTAGTATTATTGTAAATACTTTTATTATATCGGTAATAATAGACGGATCTTAAGACTGATGGTGTTTAATTTAGAGTATGTTCGCTGTTGTAGTTGTAAGATTACATTCTATCTTAAGATGTGTTTATTATGCCTTACAGGTGCATTTAGATAAGTTGTTCTTAAGCATTATCTTTACTCGATCGCCTAGTCAATTAGAAACCAACCCCCTACTGTGTCGGCATCGACTTGAATAAAATGCACTTTGGTATCAGCGTTGCCAGTTGTCCAAAATATTGGTGGAACGTCTCGGTTTTTATAAATTTTCAGCGAGAGAGGCATAGTTTTTAGGATTTATTCGATTCTTCTAAGAGCAATGCTATTTTATTAAGTGCCTACTTCAATAATAAATTAGGGCTAGCAACAATTCCTCTGAATGCGTTCAAGATCTGTTGATGCGCGATTATTACTTATTTACACTTCTTATACTCCTCTAAAGACTTACAGGATAAATCAGACAGTAGAAGTGGAAAACTACTAAGAAATATTTTATATTATAATCGTATCATAATTTCATGGTTATAGCATAAAATAATGCCAAATTCTATTTTATATTTTATATTGCTATCTATCACCATTGAAAACTTTATTTTAAACAAAAAATAAGACAAGAATTGAAAATTACTAATTTATACATATTTGTATCTCCCTTTCGGCGCAAGTATCTCGTATTTTTCTTTATAGTCTTTTAATATACAAGGTTTAGCATGGAAGTAAATTTACGCTGAGACTGCACTTGGTAATTTTGTCAAAAATTATAATTATTATACAGAGACAACAAAAGATAACCTAGTACGAGGTTCTACGGAAGTAATATTTACTCCTAGAAAGTAGTAGGTTTGCTTATTCTCTGTATAATATAAATTTGGACCAATATTGAAATTGTAATTATAGAGTAAATTTAATGTGACGCAAAACTTTGTTTATTAATAGGACTGTAAAGGTTTAAAAATGCCGCTTTTCCTCTGCATTGCCTGTTATTCAAATCGATATCAATACGTATTATTCATTCAAAAAGTCGATATTGATATAGGCTTGTTGAATGAATGATACATAACTAATAATGCTAGGGTGGGTTATTTTTTTACGAAAACATTGTTTTCTTTATTTCTTCCAGGGGTGTTCCAGGGTATATGAAACTAGTGTGCCAACTCTAATTCTCTTATCTGAATGCACCTTAAGTGAAGTTTTGTTGATTGTGAACATAGAATTTTGCTAACTTTTATGTTTTTTATCTTTCTTACTTCATAAGAAAGATGACCTGCAAACATATCGCATTGTAATTACATATATTTATTGTTATTGAAGCTCAGACCTTTTTTTTTATTCTATTAATGTATTTACTAAGCTTCGAAAGTTTATAGAGATGATAGTGTTAAAATAAGTAGAGTTTGTACACTACATTTAAGAAGTCATACACAGAAGATTTGTAGTGGCTAGTTTGGGATAACAATTATTAATGATCAAGAGCACTTGCATTCTGAATGTATAGGTACGAATAATGAAAATTGTAATTCATGGTTTGGTGATCTAAGTGTGAAAAATCTTTTTTAGCTGAAACGTCATTGACATTTATTCCAAAGTCAAGATATTGCGCTAACAGTATAAATTTTAGTTTTTTTTATACGCTTATATACATACCAATCTACGTAATGACGTAAAATTTTTTTACCAGTTTTCTACTTACTCGTTTATCCTGTATTTAATATATTTTTTTTGTATTGAAATAATTAGACTAGATTATGAAAATTTTATTAAGGAAAACAATAATCACATTTTCGTAAAAAATTGTGATACTTTTATGATATGATTTTTTTTTTATTTTATTTATATTTAAGAGCCACAAACAAACTCGCTGCATTGTTGAACAAATTGAGCTAGGACGGCCGGTGCATCGTATTTTGTAGTAATTTTACAGTTTTATTTATCATTATAGGACAGCAAGTTTGTGCTTAAAAATTGTAAAATGTTTATTCTTTATGAAATATTAATTAACCTGGTGCAAAATTTACTCAATAATATTATCGTAAATAGGAGACTTAAAGTACTATTTGAAAATAGTTTTTAATTTTTTTTTTCTATATTTAATCAAAATTTTGAGGCCGCCACATACTATATAATTATATAAGAAATGACATTTTATTTTTTTATTTCATTTATTTAGACCAGCAAGTCAATCCCGGAACACGAGGCAGTACCTCAATTGTATAATGAAAATCTTTCTCCGCAATTTTGGGTTTAATTAAAAAAGTTAAGCGCGAATTTGCAAAAGGCAAAGTCGCACAGAAATATTTTTTGTAGCATTGAAATTAAATGAGAATGTTTTTATTCAAGTAAGCTTGTTACAAGCACTTTTGAATCGTCCAAAAATATTTTTTCCCCTACCACTTGTTCAGGACGTCTTTTAGCTGACAAGAAGAACAAGCGAAAGAAACTTATCAGCTTTTTATCATAAGTAATGACATTTACATAAATCATGTAATTACCAAAATAATACATATATTGAACAATAATAAATACAAGTTTCAAAGTCTGTAGGACATAGGTTGGTCATACCTATAACTAATCTTTATAGAACAGAGCGAAGGCTATTAATTCCATGCATTGCGGTCCTTAAAATAATCATCAACTTTATAATAGCCTTTACTCATAAGTATATTCTCTACATGAATTTGAAATTTACCCATAAATAAATCTCATTTTGTGGAACTTTATTGAACATAGCAATACATTTACCCAGAAATGATCCTCTGGTTTTTTGAAGTCTGAAGCTTGGAACGGCATGTTTAGAAAAACATAAAACGTTTATAAAAATATGTATCTGTATTTACTGTATATAAACTGTGCATGTTTTTGTCAATATTTTGTTAGTGTAAGCAAAATGTCGTACTTTAAGGCACAGTGGGCTTTTTTGAAAAATCGATCTTTAACGACTCGCTCCCTAAATTCAAGTGAAAAATCCAAAATCTTAGTTATAAATAATATTAAACGAAAGGCGTACTTATGTAACTGGGTATATAATGCTCAGTGTGATAAGTATACCAAATTTTTACGTTAAAGCGTTTAGTATGTAGTGAGCGCGGTAAGACTTTGTATGGAGATTTGTAATTCTTGGTAGTTACCGCCGCTGTACCGAATCCCATACTAAAATATTAACGCTTTTACGATCGACATTACTTTTTTAAATTACTCAAATGTCAAAAAACTAACACTAAGCGCTCAGATTAAAAGAAAAACTAAAGATTCTAGTAGCAAATCGCGACCATCTGCAAAAATGGCTTACACAAAATATGAATACCATACAATCCTCGGCTATGACGCGATCACACTTCGAATACAACAGTGCTATTCTATTAAATATAAAGCGTGAAACACGGCGCTGTCATAGTATTACAAATTCAATCAAATAAAACTTACCTACTTCTTAAGGCAATAAAGTTTTTATCTGATTGAACGATACAGTTTTTTCAGTATACCGTATCAGCAATTGTATCGTGTTGTAGAGGTCGTTAAGGTCCAAGTCTATATAAGGCCCAAAATCAAATTAGTAAAATATCTGTGATATTAACTTGTGTACCTATACTAAAATAGCAAGTGCTCATAATTTTTTAAATAATTCTCATCATTTTAAGACAATTACTTATAACTTTATGTTAATAAATTTTTGATGTAATATATATAGATTACAAGCAGTATTGATTTTACTGGCTGAATTGTAGATTTTATCATAATGTTACGTACATGTTAGCGCTTAAAAATGACATTTTGTAATCAATTCCAGAAACGCGAAGTAATTATACCTCGTAATACAGTTTGTAGTTTCTTTTAATCACCTCTTTTTTAACAGATAAGAATGAATGAATGAATATACTCTTTATTGCATACCCTCAAACAAAAACATGAATACACACAGTTATGGTACAATCTAGGTATTATATAGGGTACATATACAAGCACAAATACATTTAGCGTTATTTTAATTCACTACAATCGAATGATCAAACGATACGATTTCGTCGTTCGTAGTAAGAGCTTAGTCGATTCGAACTTTGGACATGTGAAAAGAATCAAAAATGAACTGAATGACGAATGAACGCTAAAGTAGAAAATAATTAAGATTCAGGGCCGATTTTTTGCACCTTTTATTCATTATTTTCCTGACGAAAACGAAATTATATTTTCAGAACAACAGGCAAGAACAATAAACTATTCATAGATTCAATATACATCAGTGTAAATATAGATTTTATATAGGCACATCTTTTTAACTTTGCCTATTGAAAATAAAAACAACTTTTGTCGGACCCTTGTAAGTAAAGCATTTACCCGGTTGTCAGTTAGAAGATCCATCAAGACCCTTTTATGTGCAGCAGTTGTTGAAGCGATAGGGGATGTTTTTGGGACTACTTTTAACATTAAAATCTTATATAAAATGATAACGGAACCCACCTCTCTACATTGTATCAATACGAAAAGAGGAGCTTGACGGGGCACCGGTTAGTACTTTTATACTATTGTAGGTAGAAGCTATTTATCTTTAAAAAAAATCTCAACAAACTGCAAAGACACTTTCACTTCCATAAATTAAAATGCTTAAAAATGGCAGCAACATTGGCAACAAACCTTACAATGAAATGGACGTTAATATCATAATATAAATTCAATTATATCTAAGCCGTGGTTTGTTAAAAGAAAATACGTTGACAGAAAATTTTATACTCTCATAATTTGTAGATTCTCCTACCCTACATGCAACTTTTGCAATTCTGGCAATCAAAATTTTGATCATATCTTTTTTGAATGTTCACACTTTTCATCACAACGGGTGATTTTAACCAATAATTTGTTGGAAATCTACAAAAAAGCTGATAGCATCCCGCCTGGTGCGCTTGTGCACTACACTGAATTTTCAGGTCCGGCGGTCCTATTTTTTCCGGTCCGGAATGACATGAAAAACCCGGATGAGTAGCTTGTACACTTGTCCGTTTTTTTTCGGATCGGAGCGGCGCAGTTACGGTAGCTCTCTTTGAAACTACACGTCACTTACGCTAGGTACAATTAGATTTTTGGAACGTCGGTAATCGCTTGCTTTATTATTACTACGTAGAAGACAAAAAAAATATTGGGTTCATCCCCTTATGAATGAAAGGTACCAAAATAGTGATCTGACAGGGTTATTTTACATAAACATAAATTGAGGCAGGACGAAAGCATTTTTTGACTAGTATCAGATGTAAAAACTTATACCCTTACTAATTTAGGAACAGCATTGTTCACATACAATAGCTAAAAATGAATAAAATTACTGATAATGTTTTCATACATTATAACTCGATATTCAAATTTATAAGTTTTATAAAAACAACTTCAAGCGATTACAGACAGACCAATCGTTGATGCCGTTATGTGAACAAAGCGAAATTAGTGGCGTGTAAGCGGAGAGTTTATATGTTAAATGAACTTTAGGGTGGCATTTAAATCGGTCATCTTGTTTTTAGTAAGTTTTAAATGTCATGATTTAACTATAATCATTGTAAGATCAGTTGGCTGCATTATATATATATACTTACTAGCTTTTATATTATACGCGTGGTATAGTTTCTTTGGGCAGAATTCTTTTTCTTTTAGAATAATTCTGTTATGAAATATTTATTTATACTTATCTTATAAATTGTCTAAAACAAATTTTGATAATGACATATTTCCGTGCAAACTTTCAGCCCCAATTTATACCTATTTTTCTTGATTGAATGTAGCCTATTTCCTTTCTTAAGATTAAGTCTATTTCTATATTAATTTGCATTAAGATGGGTTCAGTTGTTTAGGCGTCTAAGCGTACAACACTTATTTGTGTTACCTTAAGTTATCGATACTCATAATCCGATTCTATAATCTTGCAAAGGATCGATACTAGAACCATACGATGATTAAATAAGAACTATATCGAGTTTGCCAAAGCATATGCAGTGATATTTACCATCAATATTAAATCATCATATAAAATATCGCATTTTATAATTTACAATAAATATCGATTTTTCATAATTCGATTATTTTTTCCCAAGCCTACTCCGCAGGCTTATGAATTTTCCGGATTGCGGACACAGCAGAGCACAAGCATTAAAACGTTTTTCATTGCTGCCACCACGGAACTGAAAAAACCGGTCCAGAATAGAGAAAAGTAAAATTCCTGAAATTGCACAGGCTAGCATTACCTACATATGGCCTAACATATTGGACCGGAAAAATTGGACCGCCGGACCTGAAAATTCAAAGTAGTGCACAAGCGCCTTTACCGGAACTTCTAAAAAATCCCCAGTTATAAAAAATTGGCTGTATGACTTAGTTCCTTCGCCTGTCCATGGACGAAAAAAAAAGTGTCAGAAACACCACAATATATATACTCTTCGTCAGAAGTTGTTTGATTGCGCTATTTATTTTAATGTTGGGATTTTTCAGTTAATAAATTTCTAATAACTTCCGAATTTTTTTCTGTAAAAATGGGGGATAAATCGACGCCTCTGTTAGCTGTTTTACAACTACTTCGGAAATACAACTTAAAGGTAAACAAAAAGGAATCAAGTCAATGTTTTAAAATCGAAAATATTTCGTCAATACCTTGTTTATTATTTTTTCAGGGTACAGAAGAGATATTAAGAAAGGAAGCCAGCTTAGGTGATGTTGAATATGAGAATTTGGACCTACCCGAAGTTGAAATTGCTAGCATTCTCACAGCACACCACACAGAAAGTGATCCATACAGCTACGAATTTGCTTATGATAGTTTGAAGAAGTTCGTTGAAAATTCATTGGATATTTATAAGGTTTGGAAAAATCTTCACTATATTGTACTAAAACACATTATCCCAGTACACTGTCTTGCATCAGTAGAGAAGTTTATAGCAGATATCTAAAGAGCCACTGGTGGTAATTTTGGTGTACACACTTTGACAGGATTCAATTAAAATCCATTCTTGTTAACTAAATGTCAATTTAACAAAAGAGATATTATTAAGAGTCCATTAACTGCAGAAGACATACATCCAGTTGCACAAACCACTTACCAATTTAAATTTAGAACATTTATTTAGAGTTTAAAGTTATCATAAACTGTAATGGACTTGTATAACTGTGTGTTATAGTCAAGAATATTTTATACTAGAATGATATGCCAAATAGGTTATCAATATAAAAGCTGAGCCATTGCTCTTTATTCTTTTTTTTTTTGTGTTTTAACCAATACTCACAAACATCATAATTACTATATTTGATCAATTTTGAATTCACATTGCTATAGTGAAAAATATTCTTAATGAAAAATGCTTAAAAAATCCACTTTGTCCCGGGCACTCTGAGATGAGACTCAACCCATGATCTTTCAAAATCTGGGTGACTGCTCTAACCACTGAGCTACCCGGAACCTAACAGGACTGAAAAAATTTTCAAGCACTTGTTATTTTTTCTCTACTACAGAGTGTATTTTCATCAATATTCAGTCAATCCACTCAAACAGCTGAAATAAATATTTTTACAAATATTTAAACTTTCGCTAAAGATGAAAAGTTATTCTAATAATTATATTTGATTAATTTTACTTTCAAAAAGCTATTGTGAAACATACCACATAATTGATATTCTTCACCACTTCTTATATCATTGGTGTTAGATGACTGTGTAGAATTGACAAATTAAACTAATACAATATTTGTTGCTGTTGCAGCATGAACTATCCACACTGTTATATCCAGTATTTGTTCATATGTACTTACTCCTCATATTGTATGATCATAATGAACATGCAGCTGCATTTTTGGAAAAGTTTGCCCCTGAACAAGAAGATTATTACCAAGAAGATCTCAAAAAACTGGCCATTGTCAAGCATAAAGACCAAATTAAAGGGCATGAACTTGCTGAAATATACAGGTAAATTTTGTTAAGATTGAAGAGAGACCATTCCAAATTGGTAGTTACTCCTTTCAGAGCATAACAAAGAAGGATGTAATGTTGCTTCTGTGGATTGTTTTTTTTTTTATTAAACATAAATTATATGAATTATTATGTATTTGTAATTTTTTCATCTTTATTATATGTTTAAAAAATCAACTAATTTCACACATTATATATAAAATTATCTTTTTTCACACTAAAAATTATGGTGTCCTTTTGTATTTTCAAAAAGAATCTTATAAACATGTTTCTGTACAATAAGCTGCTTACAACACTTTTGTAACAAAAATACACTGAAATTTTGATTCCTGTTCTAGTACAAACAAATTCATTGTGCAAATGTCACGGGATGCATCTTCACAACTGAAAAGATATTTACATGATCAAAAGAATTCAACTGTGATTATCAACATTATTAACAATCATGTTCAGATCGATATACATGATGGACCTGGACGTACACTAGCTCAAGTAAGAGCAACTGCTGGTGGACTCCTTGGTGAAGCTCCAAAAACTGGTTTGTCCCTTCTGCTCTTAATTTTGCATCTTTTTATATGCTTATCATAGAAAATATAAAACTTTAATATTTGTAGTAGCTCGGTGGACTAGCGCCGCGGCTCACGATCGGTGTTGCTACACAACTTTCGCAAAGGTTGGTCACAGGATGGGTGACCAAAAAATTATTATCTTGAGCTACTGGTGTTTTGGAAAGCACGTCAAAACGTTGACCGCCGACTGCATTTGCAATCGTTGCATTGGGCCAACATGGAGAGTTATAACCCATCCTCCTTAACCAACCATGAGGAAGGCCTGAACCCCTTGCAGTGGGGACGTTAAAGGGCTGATGATTATGAATAATCTTAGAAATAACGATTTATTGAAATCCTGCACATTTTCTATAGATAAAATAATAAAACTATTGTATCAATATTTATTGTTTTATAGAGAATCGCACTAAAGTATACTATGGTCTATTGAAAGAACCTGACATACAAGTTCTTCCTGCACCTATCGAAGATGAAGAGGAAGTTGAAGAAACTCCTGATAAACCAAAAAAGAAGAAAGCTAAGAAGGATAACATTTTTATGAAAAAACCAAAATCTGACCCAAACGCTCCACCAAATGACAGAATTCCATTACCAGAACTGTATGTATTTATTATTAATTACAAATGGTCAGCTGTTTAAATTAATAACAAACATTTTATATAAAACTAGCTTTCCGCCAGCTGGTTCGCCTTCGTGGTCTTGTTTTATACATAAAAACCTTCGTTTGAATCATCCTATACATTAAAAAACTGCATCAGAATCTGTTGCGCAGTTTGAAAGACAACGGAAAGCGAGCCCAACTCTATAGGTATCTAACAGTCTAACGGTTATTTACACAGAATTACTAGCATATGTACCATATTTTAATCAAGGTCCTGTTATTTCGACTCTGTTACAAAGCGCCATGATCACGGAATAACTGAAGTCGTGCGGGTACATTTTATTGACAAATATATCGATCTACCCTCTTTCGAAAACTTAAGTTCGATATCCGTTACGGGTATAGTATGGCCATACTATTTCGAACATAATAAATCCCGTTAAAAATTGTTACTGTAATGATATGGAAGGGAAGTTTAAAAAAATACACATACTATACCTTTTTAAGACATTTATGATAATTAATAAAATTGGCTACTTGACTGTTTTGGGAAAGTTTTAGGAATCATGTTCAACAACTCAGATTTCTTTTTCTCAAAAATACAATATGACGTCACACAACATCCCGCCATGGCGCCCGTCGTTTCAGTCATCATAATCTACAGAAATAAATCGCAAGTTGATTCACTAATGTAAAGAATACTTTTATTAAAAAAATTCTGCATAGTTATTGTTTACGTATAAGTTACTATTTTCAACATATTTCATAATTAATTGTTATAACTGTCAAGTAACCAAATTAGGCACAGTAAGTTCCATCTAATAAGGCGCTAGGTGAATTCTCATTTACGCAAAGCGGTTACCAATTGCGTCGATGACTGAACGTACGATTAGTAAATTTATAGCGAGTCTTGTTTCGATAACTTTAAAATGTAAAATACAATGCATAGTTGTTCATCTCACTCGCACTCGGTGTTGGTGTGGCGCGTGAATATTAGTAGAGCGCCCGATGGCGTGAAACTTCATCATTCTGATTGGTTGACATTTGCCGCGTTACGAATTAGCCATCTGCGCAGGTACATTGGTGAGCCAAATCAGTTGAAACTTACTCTACCATGTTCACTCAGAACCTATGTAATGATCTAGCAAAACTCGAGCCTGGGAGAGATAATGACTCGATGAAGTTTTCGTGCAAAGCGCTCGATTGTAATAATCGTTAATATTGAAAGCCAATTATGTCTTATGAGGCACATACGGCTGTTGCACAAACGTCCTTTTAGTTTTAATGACGCCTTTAAGCTCTAATGAATGTCAAATTTGTATGGGTAATGTCGCTTTAAACCAATGACAATAGGGATGACGACTAAATTTGTTTGTGTGTCCGTCAGCTAGATTGTTGAAAAATATTAAACATTTTTTTTGCGTAATCATTGAGTTAAAATGTCACATGACGTCACATTTTTTTAAATTTTCTGCAAACCTGATGTAGCGAGGCCCCACTCCTTAACTTTAATGCCTGTTACCTAAGCTATTTCTTGTTAAAATGAAGTAAAAAAATACATATATAATATTTTTCTATAATCTGACTTACGGACTAAATAGAATTTCTTTTTTTTTTACCCAGTCGTCATACCTATTTTAACGAACGTTTGAACTGGCTGGTTGATTATCAAATAATTACTATTTTTAGTAAAGAAGCTGATAAATTGGAAAAAGGCAAAGCGTTAAGAGAAGCGTCAAAAAGAGTAGCACTCGGACCGGATACTCTACCGTCAATTTGTTTCTACACATTATTGAATAGCGGCCACACTGCTATAAGTGCCGACATATGCGATGACTCCACTTTATTGGCCGTTGGTTTTAATAACTCAACCATTAAGGTACACTAACATTATTTTATTGTATTATAAAAATAATATAAAATGAACAACTCTGTTATTGCATATAATGCACTTTATTGCTCTTGTAATAAGGTTAGCTGTCAAAAAATACATATATAGCCTATATGAAGTTATAAATGACAGTCATGTATGGACGTACGTATGATCTCAAACCAACCGGGGGCGGTGGAACGCATCGAAGTACACTTCAAACTGTTTAAAGAAATCCAGCTTTCTTAAAATTCCATTTGTTTAAGGAAAATCCATTTAGTTCGTCAGTCAGATTATAGAAAAATATTAGATACATATTTTTTTTCGCGCTCGCTACATCACAGTTTTGTACAAAAGCGTGACGTCATATGACATTTTAACTAACTGAATCGCCGTAGTTTAATTAAATACGTGTTTAATATTTTTCAACAATCTGCTTTTCACGTACAAACAAAAAAAATTATAGTGTACTATTCTGGGATATGTCCCCCCACAAAAACGAGAATGTGGTAGCTTCCTTTAGGTTAAAGAAAGTTACAAATAAAGTTATGCCTGTTGATAATATTAGAATAGAGTAAAGTAAGTAAAAGCACATTTTTGTGCAAATTTTCTCAATATTTCTTACATATTATTAATTTTATCAAAAATTGACTTCTTAGGTATGGACATTAACTCCAGTAAGATTACGGGGTATGAAATCAGCTGACAAGTTGCAAGATATTGATAGAGAGGCTGGTAAGTTATAAAATTGTAATAAAACGACTTAATTATTTTTCTATAATTTATTTCGCCATCACATTGTGTAAAAATTATAAATCAATCTCTTCAAAGAGAGTTTTTTTTAATCATGAAACTGGTCTGTAATCTTGAATCATTCAACCCCATTTTTTAAAGTGATTGATTTAAATCAATTAGAAGGTATTATTTTATATTTAATAAAAAAATCTTAATACTTTATTAAATAATTTAAAATTTCTAAACTCAAATCCATATACACAAATTTCTAATGAATATTCTTAATTTGTACCGGTAATGTCGCTGTATACTAATGACTATTTTAATGGACGTTTGTGCAACTGGGAGTGTATACAATCTGTGCGCTAATCAATATTTGTTTTTTTTTTATGAACAGGTGATGTCTTAGTAAGAATGATGGAAGAGAAAGACAGAGAAACATGTCGCACACTATATGGGCATTCGGGCCCTGTATACAAAGTGTGTTTCGATCCCTTCAAAACATTATTACTTTCCTGTTCAGAAGATTCTACAGGTAAACACATAATCTAATCACACTAAGTATATGTCCTGAATAATCTTTGGTTGTATTCTTCATTTTGTGATAAAACTTCTAGATTCACATTGCTCCGAAAACACGTCTTCATGCCACCAGCTTTCAAACAATAATGCCCCTTAAAACTTGCAACTACCTTACAACATTCGTTTCCTAATCAAAGATTCTATATTGATCCGGAATCGAAAGTATAATATAGGGATATATCGGGTATTATAGACATGTATTAAATCTTAACCAGCACATTTTTAAGTGTGGCTTTGCAAAACAAGATATTTAATTGAAATCAATAATATTACATTATATTTAATTTTACCCTACCGTGGACATGCGTATGGCACTAAGACCGGCCCGGATTCACAACTTTTCACAACCAACTGGGGCAGAAACTCGATTTTGCGCACTTACACCCCCCTAGACGCATATATTTTTTATTAGATTTTATATGGGATATTTGTCCCCCCCCCCCCCTTGATAAGAAATATATTTTTTGCAAGTAACCGTTTGCTTGATTTGACTTTTATTTTTTTGTCACCATTTATCAGTCAGAGTATTTGGTTGAACTATGTTTTTTTTTGTCACGATTTACCAGTGAGGCTATGGTCTTTACAATGTTGGACCTGCCTGGTGGTATACCGCGGTCACGTGTGGCCAGTGTGGGACGTGCGCTGGTCACCGCACGGACATTACTTCGTGACGAGCGGACATGACCGCACCGCTCGACTCTGGGCCACTGATCATCATCAACCGCTCAGGATATTCGCTGGACACTTATCTGATGTTGATGTAAGTGTTTATGTGAAAATATTGGAACCGTTAAATCGGATTAAAATACATTTTTCAGCCCGCCGCTAAATGTGCGACCGTTTCTCTAGCCTGGACTCTAGTCATATGTTACATCTTAGCGATGTTATGACGATAATTGAAATTACTTTTTGCATAAAATATAATAATATCTATGCGTCTTTTCATCTGGAAGCCATGGAGTTTCGTAATTTGTAAATAATGTTTTGAGGTTATACCAGCTGTCAAAACACTAGATAATTGTGAAGCTACTTTAAAAATTAATGCATTAAAATAACATATAGTTAATGTGCACTTTTCAACCTTATGACAATAGAATATTTTTCCGTGGTAGATGAAATGAAACGTATCAAACCGTCTTTGTGCGGTCCGAATCGCATTAAGGTAGTGTAGCAAACCATCTTTGTAGGGTCCGAATCGTAAAGCGCCTATACCTTTATTACCTTTTTTTTAATATTTATCAGCCTCGCAATTTTTATCCTGGCTTTATTTTAAGATTTCATTACAGGATACGAAATAAGTAAAATATAAGCTTCAAGCAGTATATCACACCAAGTTGAGGTAAAATTTGACATGATTCTTTGAGATAAATCACTAAGTTGGTTCAGTTCAAATTCTTAATTATCAATCTTTATCATTCGTTCGTTGTTACTTAAGTACATGTTAAAGTAGTAAAATGAAACGAAATTCGCCATAACATCGATAAGACGTCATATCCAATGAGTAGAATCATGGCTAGAGAGTTAGATGCTCACTCTACAGGTGTTCCAGCACCTGACTGCCGTACTGTGTAATGAGTGATGTATACCTTTGTACAACTTCAATATATTAAGCTTAAATCGAGCTATCTGGCTTTAAAAAAAGATTAATAACCAGCGTTCTCTTTTATTATACGGTTAAAATAATTTATTTTCAGCATAAATTTTTTTTTGTCATTATTTTCAGTGTGTACAATTCCATCCTAATTCTAATTACGTCGCGACTGGATCCAGTGATAGGACACTTCGCCTGTGGGACTGTTCCACTGGCACACAAGTCAGGCTTATGACTGGTCATAAGGTATGTAATCTAATCACTATCACAACAAACTTTAAATTGATGAAACTATATACACATGTGTTAGAAACCTATCTGAAGGTTGCTTATAATGTTTTATTCTGGTTAAACAATTAATTTCTCAAAACTTTTGATTTTACTTAAATTGTATAAATATTTGGTATCTAAAACTAAGTTGACAATTGTTCCTATACGATCTTTAAGTCCAATCTTACAATTCAAAACACACACAATCATATACTCGCACACTCGCACGCACACACGCACACACGCACACACGCACACACACACACACACACACACACACACACACACACACACACACACACACACACACACACACACACACACATACACACACACACACACACATTCCGTCAGTATACCTTTAAAGTAGCTTATAACTTTTATAGATATGATACTCTTTCTGGCACAGATACTGTGCACTGATGATTCTGATGATAATAGAAAGAGATTCCAAAAGATAAAATGTTTAAAATAGTTCGTTTACTACATTTGCCAGTGCTAACATCAACGACGAGCATTACGTATTATTCCCTATTTAATTTGTTTTAGTCGACAATTTTCACTGTGGCATTCTCGATGTGTGGAAGATGGTTGGCATCGGGTGGTGCGGCCGGTGAGCTCATGGTATGGGATATAGCAACTGGTTCGCCCGCTGCTATCCTACCTCCTTCGCACACTGCTCCTATCCATGCGTTGGCGTTCAGCCGGGACGGAACTATTCTATCTTCTGGTATGATTCAAAATTCAATAACAATAATTCATTTACAGCATGTCACATAGTATACATACAGTTGTTAGTAGGTACAATTCATGTGACACCCTGTAAGGGTTTAGGCAAATAGAATATAGCAATCAATCAAAGCTGAGTAGCTCGGTGGCGTAGTGGATAAGCGCCGCGGCCCGCGATCGTTGTCGTTAAGCAACTTTCGCAAGGGTCGGTCACGGGATGGGTGACTAAAAAATTATTATCTCGAGCTACTCCGTGCTTCGGAAGGCACGTTAAGCCTTTGGTCCCGGCTGCATTTGTAGTCGTTAATACATTCCAATCCGCATTGGGCCAGCGTGGAGGGTCATGGCCCATCCTCTTTAATCATCCATAAGGAAGGCCTGAGCCCCTGCAGTGGGGACGTAAAAGGGCTGATGATGATGATGATGATGAATCAATCAAAGAAATGAAAGAATCAAGAATCGGAATCGCACTAACACTGCTGAAACTAGCTGTGTTGTATAGGCATTTATCGAGTCGGCCAGAAAGGGATAGTCACTCGGGAAGAAAGGGACGGATAGAAGAGGTGAGACGTACTAGGCCAAACACTTACTAAGCCTTGCAAGCACGAGTACGTCAAAACACTTAGTCCTATTTCACGAGTATTTAGAAGAACGCGACTTTAGACAGTGACATCCCCAAAGACGCAATACAAATTTTGTTCCAAGATATCGCGTCTGCGTGAAATTTGATCCGAAGTCATTGAGTGTTGCCAAAAAGTTAAAGTAGTATTTTAATTTTACTTTGACGAGCAAAAAAGAAATTAGAGGACTGCACAAGGCTTTAGTAAGAAAAAAAATCGAAAGATGACTCTTTATAACATGTGTAATTTTCTAGTAGTTTCTAATAGATAACGTTATAGTTTTGTGAGAATAGCGTTGTTAAGAGTTTTGCTTGTTGATAAGTTAAATTCATTTTCATAGATTGGTTTTCATATTTTCATATATAGGTTTTTGACTGCTAGGTACCATAAATAAGTTGTATAAACTTCAATATTTGAATGAACTCTCGTTCAAAACTACGATTTATTCACACTCAATAATATAAATAAGTTAGTCCGAACACCCCAATACTATAAAAATTATAATATTATTAAGTATAATGATACTTAAGAGATTGGTACTTGTAATAATGATTACAAGTACCAATCTCTTAACTTTAATAAATGTTCATCCATATTTTTCGCGTTTATACTTTTGTTTATCCGCGAAAAATACAATCAGAGATGTCGAAAAACTGATTTAATTAATCAAATAATACGACAAAGCAAAGGTCGCTAGATAATAGACATTATTTACATATTTAACACATGGCGGCGTCGGACCCTTACCTAATTACTGTGCAAACAAAAAGCGGTTTCATCCCACACAACTTTGAGGTTGATCGTAAATGAATAGAAATAAACTCACTCACACTAATTGTAAGATCGAACACGTCCTCGTCTTCGCGTCTCGGATTCTCTGAGTTTGTTGAATATTTGAGATCGAGACTTCTAAATGATCGACTAATAATCGAAAGAAAGTAAGTTCTAAATAAAGAAAGTAGTCGAAACGCGTAGGGCGCTTAAGTCCGCGTCCGCGTCTCCAAGTATCGGAGTTTATGTGAGTAACGAGTAAGTCGATATTTCTAAATATTAGATACTCGTTGAACTCTGATTCGATACTTAGTATTTAGACGTCCAAGCAAAAAGTTGTTCCAAATTCATATTTCGGTTAATAAGTCCAGTCCTAACGGGTAGCTGTTCTAGAACTTTTTGTTAATGCCTCGAATACACTGTTAGGGCCGAGGAAACACTTAGAATTCTAGATGTGGTATCGGCCCTTATAAATACGCGGTGGACTACCCTCCTGAGCATTCTTGAGTGAACAAGCGATCTGGAAGCAAGAGCGATCGGAAGCCAAACTCGAAGCGATAACTAGAGCTGCGAAAAATCTAATTTTTGTGAAGTGTTATTAGTGAAGTTGAAATGTGAATTTGTAATTTTATCGTGAAAAATAAAGTCGGTTGTGAAGTATAATTAGCGTTATTTTTTATCCTGAACCCTAAGTCGTAACATTACTTACATAAGTATATATAATATTTACATAAATATGTTAAATTCAAATTTTAAATAGAACATTTTCCAAAGAGCAGACATTTTCTTATTTCATATAAAGATTTATTTAACTCTATAGTTTGTTTTTTCTAATTGTCCTTTCCATTCTACAGGATCACTCGATTGCAACATCAAGCTTTGGGACTTTACAGCTATCACAGATGAAGCCACTGGTGAAGAGCCAGGCAGTAGCAATGGACTTAAAGAAGACAAATTTCTTTTGAGATCATTCCCAACGAAAAACTCTCCAATCAAATGTCTACATTTTACTCGACGCAATTTGCTTTTAGCTGTTGGTACATATGAAGGCAGCTCATAATGTGCTAAGTTTTAAGTCTATCTCAAATGTACAGCCACAATCGAGACTAGTTAGGTTATTTGAAGCTAACTATACACCAGATTGTATTTTTTCACTACCATGCTGAAATGTCAATAAAATCAGTTAAATCAATGAGACTTGCACTACTCAATGAGAACACACTTAATTGGTAAAACTATGTATCACATGAAAAGATGATATGCCATACAATCTGTAACCTTAAAATTAGTCAAACCAATGAACATTTTCATTTAGTTTTAAAACCGAATAGTTTTACGTAACGCTTTTAGAGAGTCTGCCTAAGTTACAAGGGATCCAGCATGATGATCTAATAGATTATAAGACAAATATTAAATGAATAAATTTTTATGGACAGAAAAAATATAAGTTTTATTTCATCAGTTATCCTTAAGCCTATTACAATATTTGAAGTAAATATGATCTCTCTGATGTTATAAATTGTATCATCAAATTCAAAATGGATTCATTACTTCGAGACACTTGAGCTTTCATTGCTTGCTTAAAATCTTCTTTGACTCCTTTATCTGCCCCTCTAGTACCGATTCTTCTTTGCCCTAAATGCTGCTGTGAATTGGGTAATATATCTAGAGCAATATTATTGCCTTGTTCATTCCATATAAAACTAAGCTCTTCTAGAATATCAATATGTATAATATATGCTGAAAATAAGTGATAATGAAACACTCCTTTTTGTTTCATTACATCTAATATATGGATGAATATAGCTTCTTCCTGAGGCCAGCCTAATTGCATTAATACCAACATATGACCATATGTCAAATCTGAAGTGTTACCAGTACTTAGCAAAATTCTTATCAGTAAAGTACAAAAATAATGCATTATAGATATTTTAGTTAAAGGCAAATAATGTAAGTGCCTTGATTTACCACCAATTATAAGTTCAGTTTCTAAAACGCCTTCAGTATGTGGTAATTGCGGCAACGCTGCTAATATGCTTTCAATACAGGCAGCATACTTTTTCTGAAAGTAATGGATAGATGCTCTAATAATGCATGCTGTCAAATTGTTGGATGTTGCTGGCGGCATGGCTTCTTCGTATCGCCCTCTATATAATGCTAATTCATCAACAAATCCTTCGGACCATGGTTTTGCTTGCAGTTGGTTAGCTAACTTTGCAAACTCACGTGATATTACTTCATTAGTATGTAGTAGCTCCCAACAACTTGCTGCTGCTTGAAACTGGTGAGCTGAAATTCCAGTCACGTCAATGTCACCTTTTCTTTTTTTAGGAGGTGGTATATCAGGATCAGAGAATGCTTCAACCAATATATGATTACCTTTCAAGGATTTTTGTTCATAAAGGGATCTCAAGAAAAATGTTATTCCACTATATAGGAGTTGTCTACAGTCATCACAATTCCTTAATGACAACAACTTTTGAAAATATGTTTCCTTATTCAAGCTATTATTATAATTGACCAGAAAAACATCCCAACCAAGTTGCCTTCCCAATAAATCCAATACACCATATAGTCTTTGCCATGGATCAGTAATATCATGCTCAGATTCATCATAAATATAGGAGTTATAAAAATCAATAGCTTTAATTAATAATCTTTGCAGAAGCCTAGGTGATTCAAGAGAACTTAACAATGGCAAAGTATCAACAACAAGTAAACGTGCATATCGATTATCATAAAAAAATTTATCAGTATTTATTAAAGTCTTAACTAAGCTATCGACTCCCAATTGTGGAAATTTCTTCAATAATAACACCAATAGACGGCAGTGCTCCATAGTGTCATCGCTATTTTCTACACTGGTTTTCAAAATTGTCAACTGAATTTCAGGAACAATTTTGTCAAACATAAGACTTAAAAAACTGGTTTCCGATGACCTAAGAGCGTTTGCTATTGCTGATATTTCAGGGAGTAAGTCTGAAAGATTTTGTCTCGACATTATTAATGAGGTAAAGCATTCTGCAGCTTCCTGGACATTTCCTGATTGTTTTTCCATCTGATAAGCTTCAAATTGAATTTTAAAATTAGTTGGAAATAGTGTTTTCGCTGTTAACATCCACGCTTTGGCATAATGTAAATTTTGCTTCTGGGCTTCCTTAGCCCGCATGATAATATAGTCTTCATCATTCAGGGCAGCTTCAATACTAGGCATGTTGGAATTAGAGACACATTTACCTAATTAATAAATCAACCACAAACTACGTAAATCCAATCAACTCAGCAACAAATAGCGCACAGACTGAAATAGCGGGACAGGGCAGGGACAGGCAGGGTGACCATTTCAAAAATGTTAAATCTGCCTGACACTATCTAGAAATCTACCAAACCCGTCTCCAATAAGTGCCAAAAATATGCCGTCATATTTTTGCGTATCTAGTGTAGGTACAGTGCGACACAAACGGTAGAAAACAAACGAAAGTGCCGTTCGTTTAATAGTGCAACAAATTTTCAGAGAAATCCATTAAACGTCATGTTGACAGTGACGCAGTTGTATGTAGGGTTGCCAGATAACGAGACTAAAATATCTGGACAAAATTTGAAAAAGTCGGGATTTTGGGATCACAGTCGGGACAAAAAATGCTAATATCCACTTTTTATTAATAAAATTTTAAAATAATAACAAGTATCTACTTTTTTGTCATTTTATAAGATCACATAACAATAGTATAACATTTAAACAGCTTATATACCTACTTATTATTTTTTTATGATATTTTTTTATACTTGGAATTCGATTTTACAGAATCTAACAATTTTGTCGGGACATATTTGTTTTTTTCGGGACTCTGGACATCATACGAAATGTCTGGACAATCCAGACGAATCCCGACCATCTGGCAACCCTAGTTGTATGGACTCTAGATATTGTAGTCTTTGGACTCTAGTGTTAGTAGTAAAAATAACTTTAGTTCCTATTTATTTCATTGCCTTCTCTTGTCAAACGACAAAATAGTCACGAATAAATAAAATACTTAAATATTAGTTTATAGATTACTATAATTATTCAATTTAAGTATCAAAATACTCTGCATTTTGTTTATTTTCGTTGTTTGTTGATTTTAGGATATTTTAAACCATTAATTGGGTTGTTTCTAAAGAGTAATAATACATGTTTATTCAGAAACCTGTTCCTTGTTTTATTAAGTAAACTATAAGGCATTCACAATAAGTCTGGCGTCTGTAAGGATGTGCGGTACCCACCGAGCCAAAACTTTTCGATAACCAAGCTCATGCAGATGGTGTTCCACGGCGTGGTGACTGCATTTAAGTGCTTCCACTAATTCACGAGTGGTAGCATCCGGATTCAACTGCAGTTCGCGGTGCAAATCGTCATCATTCACTGCGGGTGGTCACCCTGAGCGTGGCTGACTTTCAAGGCTCCTGTCTCCTGATTTAAAACGGTCAAATCGGGACACCGTCGCATGGCTTGTACTTCCAGCGCCTAATGCATTGTTGATATTGTCAACCGCAGCCCGCGCACTGTGGCCTAACAAGTACTCGTATAAGTATAGTGTTCGAACTTGTCGCTCGTCCATTTTTCTTCAAACTGACTAAACAAATCGCGAGCGCGGCTTTATATACCCTACACCAGAAGTACCTAGAATGTTCTACAACATTCTAAAATATTATCGAAAAAATTGATTTTAAAAAGGAAATGTTATAGATTTTTCTAGTGTGTCTCATTACAACAAACAAATGGCGTAACATAATCGGGCATTGCCCGATTTTAATCGATCTTTCAAAACGCTGATTAACGATAATACGATCTACCGATTTTTTTGTTATTGGGTTCATACCGCTGTTATGACAGAAAGAAAGATAAAGAGCTAATTTAGCAAAGGAAATGATATATTTAAGAAGAATACTTAAAGAAGGACAAGATACAAGACAGACACAAGCAAAGAATAAACAATAAGTGACAAAAGTCAAATTAAATTCAAATAAAAAAATATAAAAACACTTATGTAATGAGACTAGCAAAGCTGTTCAACATTCATAAGACTGCGCTAATTATGAAATACCGTAATAGTTTTATTTTGTTTATACGTATAATACCAACGTTTAAACCAAGTACGTTTATCAAAGTTATTATTTCTTAAAAATTTTGACTTAGATCATAAAATCTAGTGTATAAAACCTAAAATGTAAAAATGTCTTATGTTAAAAAGTGCGGTGTTTTCATTTAATAAACGAATACAGTAAACCGAAGAAAAGAAACGACCTATGAATATCTAACATCGAGCGTCGCACACGACAGTAGTGCTAATATATTCCTTGACTCTTTGTAGAGAAGAGTTGAGGTGTTTATTATAAGGCAAGCAAAGGGATATAACTCCTACACACAGTTTAAGATGAGCTTTATACGTAATACAATAGCACTGCCAGATTTTTCTTATACAATAGCAGTGCATATGCTACCAAAGTAAAGTCGTATAGGGTGATTTCTTTGTATTTTTTTAAATATATTTTGTTCCTTTTCGGAACAGACTAAGATCATAGACCGTATTTATTTTTTAAAATATGACATAAAGTTAATGTCAATGTCAAAATTGTTGTATTGGTTGTTTTTGAATGCTGTGGGATGAAAATATTCTTGTAAATCTAGTCTTTTATTGAGCCAAAATTACTTAAACATGTGTGAAATTTACGTTGTGTAGTGTTGAATTGGTTTTTTACTTATTATTATTCTTATAGTCAATAAGTTTCTGAAATGAATTATTTGTTTACTAGAAATAACGACATAGATTACTATGATGATGATGATTATGCTATTGCGTACGCCCCTGATCATATTTTGGAGAATATTTTTTCATACTTAAATCTTAAAGACCTTCTCAACTGTTCTTTGGTGTGTAAGAATTGGTATAAGGTACTCAACGATGAAAATAATGATGTTTGGAGGTTACACTGTTTTAAAAGACTAGCTGAAGAAGTAATGAAATCAGACCTTCTTTCGACTGTGACGACATACAAATCTAAATTGAGAGCGTTTTATCATGCTTGGAATCCACACGACTGTTCTAGAAACATTTATGTTAAACCCAATGGATTTACTTTACACAGGCATGTATTATATGGTGCATTTTTAGATTTATTAGCATAAATACTACTCACAATAAAATGCCACTCTCATATACTGTATAATTCATTTAGTTTTCTCTTCTATAAATATTAATATTTTTTTTATAAACAGAAATCCTGTTGCACAAAGTACAGACGCTTGCAGAGCAAAAATTGGATTTCGCCAAGGTCGTCATGCATGGGAGGTTATATGGGAAGGGCCATTAGGCACTGTTGCAGTCGTTGGCATATCTACTAAAGAAGCACCCTTACAGTGTCAAGGATATGTTGGATTACTTGGGTCTGATGAACAAAGCTGGGGTTGGAATTTAGTGGACAACCATTTACTGCATAATGGGGATACCCAAGGACATTATCCGCTTCTGAATAACTGTCCAAAATATCAAGTAAGTCCACAATATTTATAATGAGGCTAAACAAGAATTAACATGCTGAATATTGACACTAGGTTATTATAACAAGCTAAACTTTTTCTTCCACATCGCCATTATGGGGACTTTCATTGAATAAGTTAAACAAATACATATATCTTTTTTGTTTTCAGGTAGGAGAACGTATAAGAGTCATATTGGACTGTGAAGATAATACACTATCATTTGAAAGAAATTATGAATTCTTAGGAGTTGCATTCCGAGGTAATATAATAAGATCTTATTGTCTATGTGCTTCTCTACATTTGATACATTCTCTACATTGAGTCATCAATCATCTTCAGCCCTCTTTACATCCCCACAGCAGGGTCCCATACCATTCTTATTGATGGTTAATGAGGATGGGCCATAAACCTCCACACTAGCCCATTGCGGATTGGAAGGCATTAACAACTTCAAATGCCTAATGTGCCTTCTGAGACATGGAGTAGTTCAAGATAATAATGGGCCACTTATCCCATGACCAAACCTCTCTAAAGTTTGCTTAGCAACAATGATCATGGGCAGCAGCTCTTATCCTCTATGCCATAAAGTTACTTGATTTATTGTGTCTATAAATATATATATACTGAAATCAGGCTAGGACCAAGGCCGAAAGGCCTATAGATAGAATTACAAAGGGGAAGAATACAATAAATAAATAATGTAATAAACAATTAGACCAACTAGCAGTGCAAAATATAAAATCATTAGTATGATCTATATAAATAACTCTTACTCTTCATTATAACATATTAAATAATCAAATATTATTTTTTCTTGTAGGTTTACCAAATAAAAAACTATATCCAACAGTGTCTGCTGTTTATGGAAATACAGAAGTATCTATGGTATACTTAGGACCCCCGTTGGATGGCTGATAGTTAATTTAGTTTATATTAAGCTAGTCAAAATGTTATTAATTATTGTGATATATTATTATTTCCAATGGCATATATTATAAGCTTTTTTTTTTTAAATATACCTAAGTAACTTTTGTTGCTATATTTAATAATATAACCTACTGCTCTGTCAAGTGGTAGGAAATAATAACATGTTTTGTATGTAAATAAACTCAATAAATGCTAAACTTTTAAAATTGACAGCAGTTAATTGAAATAAGTAAATGATTAATACAACATGTTGCTTTTTATTTTATTATTTATTGAACTGAAATTTCCTGATTAGTTCTGAGCTGTTAGTACAGCCGTACTATCAGGTTTCAGTGAAATCTGGGGAGAGATTTAGAAGGGAATGAAACGAAATTTTATAAAGTCAACTTTTTATTACATAATTCATCAATTTAAAATTGAAGCTTTTTATCTTTAATAGGTATACATAATAATCGTTTGAAATCCATTAAATATACGAATCACCTGCCGATCAGTCAATTCAATGTCATAAATTAGTTTTATTAAACAACTTCCTTTGGTGAGCGGTGGCAAGATACAATCAGCATCGTAATATTTGGAGTCGATCAAGATATTGAAATAAATATCTAAGTACTACCAATGTTCTTAACAATATAAAGTAGCTAGATAAATTCATCGCGTTTGTATTTAGTTTTATTGACGTTCTTTACAGGTTCCGTGTTCACATAAGACTAAGTTGTTTCGTTTATGATAAGAAGATGTTAAATTTTAATGCAGATTGTAATTAAAAAAATGTTAAATAACGATCTTCATTAAAATTCTTGACATTTGTATACATATTGTTTTCTTCTTCAATTTGAATATGTTACATAGTAAGCTTAAAAAAAATAATTTAATCACCAGTCAAAAACTGCGTAGTCAGAATTGAAGGTGATTTTGTTACAACTTTTATTTCCTACTAAGAATTACTATCATTCAGTTATAGGTACAATATAACGCCAATAAGTCCCAGATATATGGTTTCTCGTTTATTTAAATATCCAATTCATTAAAATAACCTTATTCGCTTCCTAGTAGAAGGTCAAAAAGATCAATTAAATCAATACGACTAACTTTAAAATTATAATGAAATGGGAACTTACCCGGATAAATATTATTATTACAAGTCCAATACATATAAAACAATCCAAGCATGAGTTAAAACAGTGTTTATGTAAGTTTGGAATGTAATGAATGTAAGTATAATAATAATAACTAAAACAAACTTTATCACATTGTTGTACCTTGTATTAGCAGATATTGGACATTTCATCAAGTCATTCATTTTCGATGAATCGTAACGAAGGATGACTATTGGAGGATATTTTTGTATTTGGACATGAAATGTAACTGTGCAGTTCATATTCTCACGACAAACGGTTAAGGATTCTTCATATTGTTTAATCGAAAATAAATAGAACAATACGTCTTCTGATGACGCTAACAACTTATTTTTTATGAAAGTAGGTACGTCAATCGATCTTCTTGTATTGTTAATCAATTTCTATCAAAGTAGCTGTTGCCCTGCGACTTCGCCTCCGTAAATGATAGCGATTATGTAGCTTACCGTGTTAATAAATGATAGCCATTATGTATGTCCAACGAGTATTATGTAGCCATCGAATGCAAACAAACAAGCAATTAAATCTTTCCTCTTTATAATATGTGTATAGAATTATTGTAAAAAAATATGTCTAGTAAATAAACAAATTTTTCTTTTGTAAGACTTCCACTATGTTCAATATTTTAATTTATATAGATATTTAATATTTTTAGTGTTACCTGTTATATAAAAAATATCATTATCAATAAAAAGCATGAAATAAAAACTAAAAAAAAATAGAACTGACATGAAACTTTAAAAATGTGATAAATGTGACCAAACGCGACTTATTCAAGAAAACGCTATTGAAATCGGGCGTCTATTGTCTACACAATACCTACGCCCGATTTAAACAGCAATTGAATCTTGAATAAGTCGCTTTTGGGATAAGTATTATTTATCATATCACATTTATAAAGTTTGAAGTCGGTACTATTTTTTTAAGTTTTTATATATACAAAGTTAGTTCACAAGCGTTGCAGTTACAATACGGTCTTGTATTAATTAGTTAAATAAATTTAATTCTTTGGCTCATTTACATTGATCAATAGAACCCGCATGCGGATTGCGGCCAATGTCTATCGCTTATTTTCATTGGTCGAGCAATGTAGGTAAACGAGTCAATAATAAATTACTTGCTGGAAAACGTCCGAAAATAAACTTTTATATTCATGTACTCGACTATATATTATACAGATCTGTTTCTTATACATCTTGCATACCTACAACTCGTATGTAAAACTACAGTTAAGTTCCAAGTGAAATGACGCAACTGTCTGCGCAGAACAATCTACCAAATCCAGCGAAGACCAAACGTACGATTAGAATTTATTATGATTCTTATTTTCATAACAAAATATAACGCATCTAGTGTCCCACTTAAAATCCGTGGATATTGGTGGATTGCCAGATAGCGCGATACTTTAATTATTATGATTGGCCGACACTTTCCAGGTTACAAATTCAGTTTTCTGCGCAGATACAACAATGACCCACATAAGTTTGTATTTTACCTCTTGAACCTATAATGTAAGTAGAATAATGTCGCGATCTGCTCTAGAGTCGAATTGTTTAAATACGATAAGAAACCCATATTAAAAAAAAACTAACATAAGTATTAAGATATCTGAATTCTGAACCAATATTATAAGCGTCCTGAATTTTAAATCAGACGTCAACACATTTTACTGTTTTGATTAAAGTTGGACCCAAAACATTAATATTTTGATAGTAAGTATATATATATCCTTCCCTAACCCCTCCCCCCCCAAGCTATCTGGTGTGAGAATATAAGACGTACGTATAGTTGTCGTGGGCAAATTCTTGAATTGGGCCGATTGATGATTTACATTGCTGGAGAAACGTTTCACGGTTTCGGGACCTTACCATAGTTCACCGTAACTACGAATTATCATTTTTATCTATCATTTTTTTTTATTGATAAAGTTTAATCCGAATAGGTAACCATCCCTAGACCGCTCTATGAATAGCTGGCCAAAAGTTTATTATTACAATTTTTAAATGAAATAAAAGAACATATTTAAAATTCTTGCATGATTTATTGAGGCATTTTTAAACAGTCTGGGAGCAACTGGAACAGAAACATACCCACTCCAACCCACGTTATAATGTAATAGCTAAATACATTATATTTAAATAAATGAAGTTAACGATTTTTCCCAGAAATATTTTACGCTTGGTGAGGCCCGTAAACCGTATATCTAAGTATGTTTTTTAATAAACATTTAAAAAGAAGGTCAGCGACATAATGGGGATTTTGATAATTTAAAATAAACATTTTTAAAAGTTAAAATAAAAATTTCAATTTAAATTCGGCGCCTAAACTACTTTACATTAATGTACGCCATATTATAACGTCAATCCTTTCCAGCGAACGTACGGCTTAATCGGAATATTAATAAATACTTCTTGATTATAATAACTTACTGCAAATATGATGATGTTATTAGACTCAGGTTTCAATTACACTGACAGCAGACACATTGGTATGACGTCACACGCTTTAGATTTTTGTTTGAAGACCCGTGACAGTGACACATCTCAAAAATAGCGAATAATTTGCAAACATGTGTGTTTTTATTATCATATTTGATAAATTTGCATTCAATTGCTATACTGGAAAATATTCTTAATAAAAAATACTTATTAAAAACCCCACTTTGTCCCTCCCATCTCAGAGTGCTAGGGACAATTTTTTGTATTTTGAACCTAAAATTATTAAAATTACTAATTCATGCGTAATAAAAAATGAATATGTTGTAATTTATTACAATTTTTGTTGTTTCATTTTTTATATTGAACACTGTAAATAATTATTAAGATACGGATCCTAGATTCTTGAATCACATTTTAGCTCATTCAATAAAGATCAGGCAGACATTTTTGACATTTGGTATTCACAATTAAAATATCTCAAAGTTTATGGGGTTCATTGGGGTTTTTGCTTCTTCCTTAGCTTCCTTTTTATACAAACTAGTACTACTTAATAAAAAATTTCAATAACACTTTATGTTTAGAAAACAAGATTTTCCTCATATTTTTGCAGGCGCATCGACGAAGTTACGCTTAGATTATTCGAGAAATAAAACAATCTACTTTACCAGTAAACCCAAACAAACATATATCTAAGCAACTACCTATAGATACAATGTTCAATTAAAAATAATGGTAATGTGATTTGATCATTAGCGTGCTAATAACATTGTCTATGTTTATTATATAATACTTACTACAATACAGAGCCATTGGCAGTTTTTAAATTAACTAGATAGGTACTTACAATGACTTTTAAAGACCTTTAAATAATTAACCTTTACACATCATTATATTTAAATTAACTATACCTATACGACTGAATCTACATTTGATTATTATCCATCCTTATAAGGTAGTAGCGCCTAAGACGTCACAGTTTTTTAAGAACTTAATTTCTAATGAAAAACAAATAAGTTCAAATTACAGTCCCGTAATCCTTCCTGTCAGTTGACCGCAGGACTACGATGGAAATGTATTATTGTGTTCTTGCATATGTGGGTTTAAACAGTGGGCTATATTAGACGCAACTACCTTATATAAAAATTCAATAAAGAATATTGAAGATTTCTTTATATGTCCGTCCATCAATAGGTTAAAATATTGAAAAGAGATTCGATAAAATATCCCATTTAAGGTGACCAGAATAAAACGCGCCGAAGGAAGCGGTAGAATAGAATTTTAGAATTATTTGTATAAAAACAATTAAACTAACGCACATGCTGAATTGTCAGAAGTGTATTATCAGTCAGTTGCACAAACGTCCATTAAGGTATAATAACCCCTTTAAGGTCTAATGAGTTTCAAATTTGTATCGATAATGTCGTTTTAAACTAATGAAAATTTTAATGGACGTTTGTTCAATTGAGATAATGCATAATGCACTTGCGATGAGCAAATTCTAACTTCACCTACCGTTAATTTTAAAGGTGTAAAGGAAATTAATTTTTTAGCCTCCTTCGACTCTTGAAAGATATGAGATCACTGTTGCAGTCCTTTTTGTGTTTATGGATATATCAAGAAACGGTTTTGTTACTATATTTTAATTACTTTTATTCTGTTCATAACAATATATTAACTTAATAACAAAGCTTTAAGCTTATTAACGTATAATCGTTAAATCCTTAATAGATTTTTAACCTTAATTTGTGGACGGTTATGTTCAAAATTTATTGAAGAACTTTAGCATTTCTTTGCAGCGTCATGCACTGCTGTCATTTAAAATGGGTGTTTAAACTTTTCATTGCTAATTAATATCTTCTACATAGGAGTTATCCGATTTAATTAAATTAAACAATCGATAAAAAAAATTGCATGAATACATAATATATAAAAACTATCAAAACAATAACAAGTTTTTTATTGCCACAAAACAAACACATAAGTTTATCCATTAGATATGTGCAGATTATGACTTTAATAGTCAGCTGTAAAAAAGTAGACTAGTGTACTAGAATCGATACATTTTTAAACAAAAAGAATTAACTGTATATCGTCGAAAGCACACCAGAATACCTACCATAAAATGTAAAACTTCGACAATAGATTTTGAACTTTATTGGCAACAAATTAAGGTACCAAATTTGATTGCAGTTTCACAATTTTGTATAACCAACGTGCGGTTTCGGCAAATAATATATTAAGTACAGATTTAATATATCATTTGCCGAAAATTCATGTTTTAGTCACTTATAATCAGAAGCTATTTAAAGTCATCTGATATTTTAACATTTTTTTTTTCACAATTAGTTTCATATTTAAATGATTAAGATCTCTCCAAAATCTATTTCTGCCATCTCTGCGCACTTTCACATAACGTAGGTTTTCTTGACGAGATATCAAATATGTATGTATCACACTTCTCGCTTACTTTTCTCTTTTAATCTTAAGTGTTTTGAGTAAGGCAGAGGCCGCACTTTTAAATTCTGCGATTTGTAAGACATCCTTCTAAAAATGCAAATCGTAATTTCTTTTTTCGTTTGCGGTATACCTAACCGCATGCGTTTAAAAGCAGTGCTGTCTCAGTCTCGTGCGTATCTTTCACAAAGTTACTTTATTCAACAAACCCCTTTTAGAAAAATAATAAAAAAAAATCTAGGTGTAGTAGCATTACATATTTATGATATCCCAATCAGTGCATTTAAACTTTTGAAGTTGTAGGTAAATTCATTAAATATTATTATATTACTCTATAATTTGACAATATTATAATAACGGCAAGAATATCATATCTCTGGCCGCTACTTACAAAGCTAAAATATTGTGTATTCTATTATACGCACTTAAACTTATTCGTCAAAAACCTTAACAATATTGACTATCAATTATAATCACTCGAACTAAATGGACGCGATGAAATATTGTTCTTTTCTACTATAGGCGATTTTTTTTTTAAATAGAGATTCTAGCTACCCTGAAAGGGATTACAGCCACGATTATATGATTACGTGATATTAAACTACTAATCGTCGCCTTTCTTCGGCGATAACTCGTACTGCTTCCGGTCTTGTAAGAAATCCTTCATTTGAGGTTTCACTTTAGTGGGTGGGAACTTCGTAAGACAAAATTCTGCTACTAAACAATACAGTTTGCAGAGTATTGGACAAAGCATCGCTTGATGTATGACAGCCGCTATGCGGTACCAAGGTCCATCAAATGGATCTAATATGGCCGGGCAGAGCATGTGGTTTAAATTAACTTGGGCAGGCTGAAAAAAAGGAAACATTTAAAATTATATGTATTGAAAAATAATTTTATTTACAAACGACTGATATATTTTGCGTAATCGATTCAAGGAACAACTTTATTGGTCAAATGTCTATATAACTCGATGAAGTACTTATTATGTGTTACTAACTAGTTCTACTAAGAGATGACTTAAACTAGTTAAAGAAGTTTTTATCTAAGTTTTTGCATCAAAGCAATATATGTAATAGTTCTCATCTATCGCCAGATGTTACTCATTGGGTATATTAATACTGCAATTTAGACATATTAAATTAGCACAGCGGTTTGAAGTGAACCATTTAACAAAACTTATGGAAAACCTGAATAGAACGAAATGTATTTAATTTGAAATTTTCAAATTATTTTTACAATAAAAGCTGCCTCTAGAGCTTTTTTTTTTAATGCCCAGCCAACATTTCTGGCCGGGCCCTCCAACTGCACCCCACTTTTTAGCAGGCCTTTTTCATTTCTGATTTATCATACATTTCTCGCTTTTTGCCTCTAGAGTTAGGTCTTAGTAAATCAACAAGTAGGTAGTAAGAAAATTAATTAAGTTTTCTGGATACCAGCTTCGAAAACGAATTACAGAGAAGGGAATTAATAAAAAAAATGGCATACACAGAAAAAATTAACTAGACAACCTTATTATAAATTATTTATCTACATGCTATCGAACTCATAAAGTTTGTCAAATCAACAGACGAGAGAAAACATATTGTCTGACAAGTGAAAAATATCAACGAAATGACAGAATTTATTGTTCCACTTACCAGTCAGTTTTTTCATAAAAATGTATATCAACATATTTTAAAGCCACTGCCTATTATAAATAGATGTATTGTATACATTTTTGTTTTATTTGTACTATAATTATTTAATAAATAATGAATAAACTTACAATTGCTATGAGTTGCAACACGATGAAGTGATATATCATATTTAAGCAGTAGCTAAATATAGACCAGTTGAAATCCCAAAATGGCTCTATGTTGTAAACACCTGGAAACAAAAAAAAATCTTGATTTGAAGATATCTCTGTTTATCTTTCTATTCTTTTATACATATAACTATCCATCTCATATAAAACAAACTTGGTTTAAACCATTTGGCTGCCTAAAGAAAATTGACAATGATATTTTGTATATATAATTGTTTAAACCTGGTACTGACATACTCATATAATAACTTGTTAGCATTTAAAATTAGAATGACAGCTTATTTATAAGTTGATTCTAGTATTAACTAGTCTACAAATTTATTGTCAAAAAAACACAAAAGCTTACCACCAATTCTCAAAAGGTAATAAGGTATCACAAACATCATTCCATGCTGAATCCAATATAATGCAGCCTCCACAAATATCTGTAAATTATAATAGCATAGTATATTACCACATTATTTTTAAAATCTTACATCCAATTCTACCCTGAAGTACCAAGAAACATGTAATAAGTCCTTTTTGGCTGTATTATTCATTTTATAAAAAGAAAATACAATACTATGTAAAATATCTAAATGAAGCATTATTGATGTATTACTATAGTTCCATTTATTGGACATTTGTGTTGAATACTAGCGATTGTCAATTTACTTTCATGTTAATAACTTTATAACATTCAAAGTTTTGACTATAAATTATTCTATCCAATTAATTTTTAAACTATTATTTTTATATTTTATTCCACACTTATACTTCTTAGATTCAACTTGATCTAAACAGAATGATGTGTAACAAACATTTACCGTTCTTGAAGCAGTTTCAGGAAACAAAAATGCTAAAAGAGGTCCATTCAATAAATTCAAATGAATGCGAAACAATGCAGTAACTGTTTTACTAGGCGGAGCCACCAATAAATAAATCTGAAACAATTAAATTTATCAAAATGGGCAAATATCATATTTTTATAACACTCAAATATTAGGTTATCATCTTACTTGTATTAATGTCGTGACATGACATGGATTTAACAAATAAATCACAGTACGAGAGGCAAACTTGAATCCAATTTCCATTCCCCATAGTAATGTCAAAAGTATAACCAACAGTCTCTTTCCACCCCTATCGCTTTTAATGTAATTATCTTCATTTTTAATATGCAACTTTGGGTATGTTTTAATCTGTAAAACAAAATAATTTCTACAGGTACAGGAATATACATTATATTAGTCTTATTAGAAAATACATGTTTTAAGAACATACAGTCCAAATCTACTATTTTTGGCCAATAGTTTGTATAGAACATACAAATTTCAAACAGGCTTGAAATCTGTACAAGCCATAAATAATTTTACTAAAGAAATAACATAGTTTATATTATTTATTTGATAAAATTTTAAATAAAACTATTGGGTTTTAATGAAATGACTTGTCTATTATATTTTTAATAGAACAAAATATTTGACTACATAAAATCTCTGATCAAATCTTGCTTAAAATGACACAGTCCATGTTTGGATTGTCCAAATAATATAATGAAACCAAGTTATAATTTCTTTAAATTATGTCATCAAATGTTAATAACTACATAGTATAAAACAAAGTAGCTTTCTCTGTCCCTACATCCATATGTATGCTTAATTCAATAAATCTATGCAATGGATTTTGTTTTTTTTTCGTAGATAGGGTGATTCAAAAGGAAGGTTTTTAAGTATAATACAAGACCACGCGGGCAAAGCCACTGGTGGAAAGCTAGAACTATATTTGGTAAATTTTGGATATTTTTCACGATGGTTAATGAATATTTATTAACAATAGTTTATCATTTAAATTAATGTCTTATATCTGTTGTATATTTAAAATTTGTATATTTTTTAATTTGTGTAATATTTTGTAGTAATATAGTGTAATAATTTGTATATTTAAAATATTTGGTTGGATTTTTTGTGTACTTATAGAAAATTCCTTTAACAAATATATTACTTATTATTCTTCTCAATTTAGTTTCAGTATTAAGAATATATTATTTAAAACTATTTTAAACATATCAAAGCTTATTGAAGACAAAATTTATTTTTGATTACAAAATTTTGTATGAAGTAAATTGATTACGCATATAATTCTCTTTTATAGATTTAAAAATATTATAAAGAGTTTAATATTGAAATGTCTAATTAAATTAAGGGAAACGCTGACTTATCTGTCATAATTAGATTAACGAAATTTAGTGTTTTGTTTGTTCGTTGTTTCCAAATAGATGCTGATATTATTAATAATTCATAGTACTTACTATTACTAATAAACAAATTGTAGTCACAATAATTGTTTCAATTATTTGCCTCTGATGGGATAAAAAATAAGCACACTCCGGGCCCACATTTCTAGGAACTGCCTTATTTGCACCCGAATATGCCCACTCAAACATTCTCAAGAATATATTTAAGCCGAGAGAAACATTACTTTAAACACCTCGTATGATTAATAAAATCAAGAAACATCAATTTTATAAATGTTTAATTCCCGCTGACAAGAGCAGCGGTCAAAGAGTAAAGTCACTAGCGCTGCTCCAAAGACTTGAAATCGATATGTCATCAACTTAAAATCGATGGTTTTTATTGCATAAATATCCAAGGATTTGCTGATTAATTAGTAAAAGAGGAATTTTAAAATAAAAATTTGTCCTCGATAGCAAACTAAAGTCTGTCTCATAAAGGACGTCCCGCGGTATAACTTTTATTCCATTGTAATAAAAGCGGAAACATTGTGATCCGAGGGACTTCTTTCGTGAGTCAACTTTAAATGTCATTAGCAATTCTTAAATAGTGATTTTGATATTCATTTCAATTTTTTTTCTGATGTAATAAAGAAGGTACATTGAGTACCGAAATTAATAAATATGATATCGTCTCGTATTTTTTATAATATCTAACTTTAAATTTAAAATTATACCAAACGGGCCTCTGCTCAGTATGAGCCGAAGCAACATTTGCTACGGCACTGATTTTCAGCAGATGCCCCGAGACTTGAGGTTCAACCAGGCACTTTACATTTATAATTAGCAAAACTTATATTAGTTACTCCATTACAATTATTTAATTAAAACTACAATTAAAATAACATTTTCGTATAATAAATTCACACGAATTTCTAGCATGGGGTTAGAAATGGCATCAGGCCACGGCACTTCAGAGAAAGCAATTACTATTTTGGAACATTTGATATATTATTTAGTGTAACCAATAAATAACTCTTGTATTTTAACTTAAAATTGTAACCCGACACGGAGTTCCTTATTGGTGGAGGGATATTGTTCCAGCACTTCGTAGTTAAATATCGAAAACTACCCCGAAATGCACTGGTCCTTTATGCATTGTATTTCGTGCGTGAAGCAATTCGCGTTTGACGTTCAAAGAATCTTAATTATTTTTAGGAACCTTTTAATTATTTTTACTGTGGTGATGGAGACAACTGGCAAGGGGGACTAAAGGATAACCCCTCCGAGCTAGGTGTTGTTAGCCCGGGGACCGCGGTCCAACCGATTTAGGTTGGACGTTCTATTTATGCTAATTGGTAATGAAACTTATTCTGTACGATGTAGGTTTCTTTGTTCTAAATGCCTTGTAGTTATTAATTAATCTGTTTGTATTGGTACAGCGCCATCTCGTTATTTGCTGTTGAAACTTATTGCAGTTTGTCTTGCTATCGATGGCTGTGACGATGCTAGTCTTCTGGCTATCGATTGTTGTGGCGATGTTAGTGCGATGAGTTAGATGTCGCTATGTATCAGTCGCCACATATTCATATAAATGAGTGGGGCTCTTGTCTTTAATCACACAGAATAACAACCAAAAAAAGTGCAATTTCTTACGGTTCTCCATGTTCAACATATCACTTCTGTTTAGATACGGAGTCACATGAGCGTAACGAGGAATGGGAAAACACTATCATGCACAAGCATTCTGTACTCTCTGTTTTTTGATCGAGCTAGAAGACATTCCCCAATGACTGTATCTGCGTAATTTAATTTCGATAATATCTGCGTCTCACAGATATTCGTAGTTCTACGCTTAAATACTTCTGTATTTGGTAGAGGATCTTTAGTCTGTAGAAACACTGTCTGACCGTATCCGCAACGTGTTTCTCAAATCTCATATCACAATCAAACAGTACTCCCAAATTTCTAGCCTCAGTCACTTGATCAATTACATTGCCTCTAACTGTTAATGCAATTCGTTTGTATCCGAGTGCCAGAAACGAGCAATTTTGTTTTCGCTGGGTTTAGCAACAGACAGTTCATTTCCGACCACTCAGCTATACGAGCCAGATCCTCATTAACTTAATTAGCCGCTAGTACCGTGTCAGCTGGTCGAAATAATTTGTAAACCTATAGATCATCAGCGTACAGGTGATGCTCATAATAAGCAATACATTTAGGTAAGTCGGCGGTGTATAAAATAAAAAGAATAAGTCCAAGAACAGATCCCTAAGGCACACCACGATATACATGAGAAGTTGTAGAGTATCTTTTAGTGTCATGTGGAGACGTAACCTTAACCTCTTGACAATGGCCTGTGAGATAACTTGAAAACCACTTAATAGTATTATCATTTAGACCATAATAAGTAAGCTTCGCCACAAGTAAGTCATTATTAAAAGTATCGCATGCACGAGAGAAATCAAGCAAAACCAAAATTGATCCCTTACCCATATCTCTACCTGCCAATATGTCATCAATGACATCCATAAGTGCAGTCGCTGTACTCATACCCGCTCTAAAACCTGACTGCTTTTTTGGTAAGATAATCATTTGCACGTAAGTATTCGGTCAATTTTACGCATACTACCTTTTCCAAAATTTTTGACATGAATGGTAAGATGCTGATTGGCCGAAGGTCCTTGAGTGCAGTTGGGTGATTGACTTTGGGTAGTGGCCTAATAATTGATCCCTTCCATTGATCTGGGAATATACATTTTGTGATGGACATATTGATAATTGCAGTGATAACACCTAGAGTCCGTGGAAGAGTTAAAAGAATCATATCCAGTGATATGCCATCTACGCCATGTGCACCCGATCTCATTTTTCCAATGATCTTAGACACTGTTACTTCGCTAACTAGCTGAAGACCAAAAGCGCTACTGTTAAAACGATTACTATAATATCTCTGTATATGCGAATCATCTTCCTGCGTAAGAGCCGGTAACTTTAAGAAGTGTCTATTAATATGATCGGTGCTGGAAATACTTTCCGGCATGTGTGTGTAAATTTGTGATGACAAGCTGCCAGTGTATCATTTAAACTGTAATAGCTGTTCCCAAACTGTGGCAGACACTGATTCATTAAAACACTTTATATATATATATATATATATATATATATATATATATATATATATATATATATATATATATATATATATATATATATATATATATATATATATATATATATATATATATATATATATATATATCTTTAAGCGGTCTATACACTATCCAACGAGGTGTTTCTTTGGGTCTCCTCACATTCAATTCAAATGAAATAAAAGCATGATTACTGAGGTCTGCCACATGATCAACTGTGATATCCATCACTTTTGTACTACTGCACATGACATCCAGTATAGTTTCAGAGTGGTCAGTAAAATGTGTCGGCTCGGTCACGTATTGGTGAAGGTTCATGGTTTGACAAAACTCCAGCAATTTCCTTGAATTGGGTACATGGCATTTCAAAAGGTCAATATTAAAGTCACCTACCAGAATAATATGATCAAAAGGCGACAATCCATCCACCGTCTCCGTCAATGCATCTATGAACGAATCCACGTTCATCCACGGTGGACGATATGCCGTTCCGACAGCTAATTGACAGCCATTCAGGTTTAATTTCATCCACATCTGTTCCTCGGCCGGTGTCAGGGGGTGTTTGAGAACACGAGTGTTAATACCACGTATATAAAAACCAACACCTCCACCACGTGAACGCGGTCCGAGTGGATGCGGCATATGTCGCAGGCGGTAGCCGGGGGATGAAGATGCACGCGCTTCCTCACCCTCCCGCAGCCAGGTCTCGTTGTTGGCTACAATGTCCGTACCGTGCCTCTCCATCGCAACCGTGAATCTAATCGTGACCCAATAAACCGGGATTTAAGAAACCTAATCGTAGGTTTATATATTTGACAAATTCTATAACAAATGCAGTAGAAAACTGGATAAATTTACAATTTAATAAACTTTTCCTGTGCACACCCGAATGACGCCAATCCAGTCCATGAAAATTACTAACATTTAAAAAAATATCAAATGCGCATTCACCTTAATTAAATGAACATATGACACAGGAATACCCGGTATTTATTTGTTTTACAAAACCATTAAATTTACATAATCTAAGTATAAAAATAAAAAGCATTACATCAAAACAACTTTGATCAAAAATAAAACACAGATATAAACAACCAACAAAAAAGAACACCGCATGCAACTTATTGCTCAATTCAGGAACAGCCCTTAATACTATAATTAAAACGACAAAAATCATAGAAATCAATAACGAGAAACAACACAAGTAGTTCATTATCCAATAAAATTATCAATCGATCACATTTAATATGAAAAGGCAAATTAAGCAACATTACTTTATTCAGTACATACCTAACAGTTATTATTACTATTACCAAATCTACCATATCAATAATTTTAAAGCACAATTAAACAAAAAATTACAGAAGAACAGCAGAAAAATAATAAAGCTTTCTTATTTAAAAATACATAACCGTTTCTCAAATATGTAAAAAAATACTCAAACTTAGTTCACAAGAATAAATAAAATCAAACAGCAGAACCAACATTTGGAACACCTTTATTATGTCAGACTGTGAACGAATATGACAGTTTGCCCCTTGCTCCCGTCTCGTGAAAATTTTACCATCCTTTGTCCAGACATATTTCCAATTTTGGCGCTTAGCGGTAACGTGCGCTTCCTGGAACAACTGCCTATTCGCTCTAGTAAGTCGCTCGTTTCATAGAAAGGGCGAACACCGCCCGATATAGGCAAACCACCGGTGGTGAAGCCACGACGCACGCGTGCAGTCTGTAGCAGAGAGTCTCGTAGAGCACGTCGGATCAACCTCACGATCAGTGGTCGAGGTAGCGGCGGAACAGCACCCTCAACAAACGACCGCACCGGTCCAGCACGTTCAACACTCACGACATCTCGTTCCTCCAATTGTATACCAAGCTTATTGGCAACCGTCAGGAAAATATGAGTGATATTTTCATTATTTGTTTCTGGCATCACCCAATAACAAGTTCTGATCATGTTCCAGTATTTCTTGTTTTAAGTGAGGTATTGTCTTCTCCAATTCAAAAAGCTGGTCATTTTTATGCTCACAAAATTTAGTTTCATAAGAGTTCATTCTTGATTCTAAAAGATCCATCCTCGAATTTTGGGTTTCAATCCTTTCGGTGAGAGTTGTCACGGCTAATCGTATGGCTCTTAATTCTTCTACAACCAATCACTTAAAATCAGCATCAGAAGTATCGGAATTGCCCAGTTCAAATCCCAGGAAAATAAGACTTTTTCACCCTAACTAATATGCAACACACCAGTGAGTAGTTGATGCCAGTGACAAAATTAGCAATCACATGAAGCCAACACAACACAATCGGCTATGAATGAGCGTCATCTAGTATTTCGTTCGTAAGACAATTCTTAGCTCTTGCTATACTCCCGTAGCAGACTAACAATAGTCTCGCAAAAGTAGATCGTTGCGTGCTACCGGTTGGTGCTTCTAGTTGTGTTTATAATAATACGTACTACATATGACTGTCATAATCTATACGGCAAATATTTAACACGGTAACTGAAATCCTTTTTAGGCAACTTTCTATTAAGTCGCAAAAAAACTAACTTTGCAGTGATTAAATATCTTAGCAACTATTAAACTATACAAGCAACAAAATGCTAGGATCAAAAAACTAAAAAATGGCTGCTACTGTAAGGTATCAAATATATCAAGTGGGATCAGTGTAAAATTGGTTAAGGTATTATAAAACCTAATGTGGCGACTAATTTTTCCGAGGGGATATCAAACATTTTTCACTGGTAACTATTGGCTTTCATTATAAAAATACACATCTGGCAGCGATTGTTCGGTACCTTTAAAACTAAAAATGGGTATTATAATAATGTATTTGGATATTAGAATATTGTTATTTGTGTAATAACTACCTAGCGCAGGATGGGAGCAAGGCACATGCACCTGCCCTCAATTCTTCAAAGTTTACATTTGCAAGCATATACTGGGTCTAGCCATCCGACTAAAACTTACCACTCCGCCTATCGAGGCAAAGTCAATACCAATCGGATTAAAAAAGAGGAGAGGACGTCCTACCAAGTGAAAGCCTGCATTAATAATGGAATAGGTAGATTTTTTATATTTCTTTAAAACTTTTTCGTTATTTTGTGTATTGAAGGTAAATTAATAAAAAAATAAATAAAAAAAAAACAGCACTAGAATAAATGAACCTACCTACTTTGAGTACCTACCTAGATTTACCAACAATACTTATGTTTGAGTACCAAGTTACTCAAAGTAGGTAGGTTCATTTAAAGTTCATTTAAAAGAGGGAAGACTAATAATAAATAAGATGGTCAAGAAAAAAAAATAGACCAAGAATAGTTTTTTTAGCACGCACAATTTGGTTTATTTAGATCCCTACAAATGTATTCAAAACTATTTTTTTTAAGATCTTGTTTGTATTTATTTCAGACCTTGGTCAAGTTTATAGACGACCCCATTTTAGAATTTATGAAGGCCTATTTTTACTTTTTTATCCGCCAATAATTTGTCGCCTTAGAAGAAATTCAATTGCCACAAAAGAAAATCACTGCCAGATAAAATTTAAATAAAACCTCAAAACTCATCAAAAAGCCGCCGCTTTCTAGTTAAGATACTACCTCAAATTAGTTGCCAAAGTAGTTTATGTACTATCTATTTTCAGTTTTTTTAAGACCCGGAATGGTATCAATTTGTCGCCGCGTTAAATACATGCCAATCTATACATATATTCGGAGGGAACATTCCCCTTAATAAGTAGAGGTGTTCTAAGAACGGATTTTTAGAAATCTTATCCCGAAGGGGGTCAAAAAGGGTGAAAAAGATTGTATGAAACTTCTTTGTTCATGGATCTATGTCAATAAAAATTTGTATTTGGTTAGTTTGTAACCCTAGGAAAGTAATAGGTTATATTTTATCCCGAAAACTAGCACTTAAAGGGATAAAAATGGGTGTGAAAGACTTATGGGGAACCAAAATGTTTCCATAGCAACCACTGTTTACAATCTGATTTGTCATTGAAATAAATTTACCTAATATTATTTACAAAATGTTTTATTGTATAGCGATGAAATATTACATTTTTTAAATTTTAATGGATAAATGTTCTAAATGATAAAAATTAAAGATAAATGATAAAAATGTTCAAATTCAAGTAATTTTGTTAATGAAAGAAAAAATATTTTATTTTGTATATCTATATATGAACTAGTATCATTTTGATCAAAGAACTTTGCGCAGGCTTTAAATCAAAAACATTAAAATGTTGCTCCAAGTTTAGATTAAAGAAATTGCAATTATTTGTGTTTTTCTATTAATTGAGGATAAGTATTGCTAGGTTATAACCTAAGATTTTCCAGTTGACAGTTTTCACAAATCCTATTTTATTACATTTGTTAATTCATATTATGTAAGCACCTAAGTATAGATTTCTAAGTATATGTAGCCAAATTGTAGAATCGACAAATTCATGATGCGACCAGTCATTTCATAAAATGTTTGTATTTTATGAAACGGAAAAATCTTGCTGCCCACATCATGATGTGACGTGGGCAGATCAATAAATGATTTGAGTTTAACGATATGAGCGGCTGATAGTATGACTTCTTCACAGTGGCGGACTAAGGGGGGAGGGGGGCGGTCCGCCCCGGGCCTCTTATCCTGTGGGGCCTCCAAATAGCTGAAAGTTCCCTTGATCAAATCATAAATTGGGGTTGTACTGCCTTATCTTTCTTAGTTTCGTAGTTTTAACAGGCGTCTTAGCAGGGGAGGCGGTGTAAACACAAAATCAAGTTTCTGCACCAGTTGTAAAAAGTTGTAGGTACAGACCTAATGCCGCCCCGGGCCCCCGACAGGGTTAGTCCGCCACTGCTTCTTCATGATGTGACCAAGATCATAATTATATAAATATCGTATTAACAAGCTATTTCAGCAAATAATCAAAGTTCTAAAATTCTTTTCGTAGATTACGTTTTCGATTAAGTTTTGTGTAAACTTCAGAACTGTTTTTCCATCTGTATTTTAAATTGCATTGAATTGGATTAATATCTCTAAAGTTTTCAAAGATAAAGAGCTTAAATAGATTGATATACGTTGTTTTTTTTTTTGTTAAAAAATTCATCATCAACTCGAAAAAACAGCGTTTTAGAAAAATATATCTTGCCCAAAGTAACTATACCACGCGGACGAAGTCGCGAGCAAATCTAGTTAATTATAAACCACCGTTTATTGAATTTGAATATAATCAATGCTCCATGTATACAGTATTGGACTTTATTTTCACCTTCCACTAAGCTGTAGGGGAACCTGTTGAACCTTGGCACTATGTGTACCTAGGTCAATTGGCTTGTTTCAAATATTTCCGCGCTTTTTAATTCTATTGTATATGGTATTTGGTATATCATTGGTGACTGTCCAATGTGAAGTTAGTCGACCTTGGTCGGTGGCCTAGGTACAACCTAGGTGTTGTACTTTGGCCAGGTGGATATATTTTTATTTATTTTATATTTTTACCTAATAAAATACATTTTATATTTCAGGAATCATGCCTAGAAGTAAAGAGAAGAAGAAAAGGGCGCCTTTAAATGTGAATAATTTATCAAATGCCATTAAACTGATTAAGGAGAAAAAATTAACAACTTTTGGTGCTTCCAAACATTTTGAAATAACAAGAACAACTTTGAGACGTCATTTAAAGCACTGTATGGAAACAGGTAACGATGTCAGCAAATTACATGAAAATCTTGCAGTTCACAAAGTTTTTAGCCGTAACGAAGAACGTAGTCTTGTTGACTATATAAAAGACGCTGCACGCTTACAATTTGGATTGACTTTAAAAGACGTGAAAAAACTTGCGTATCAATTTGCAAAAACGAATGGAATAGCGTGCCCTATGAGCTGGGACACTAATAAAATGGCCGGAGATTATTGGCTACGGTTGTTTAGGAAGCGATACAAGAACGAGCTGTCTTTGAGAAAGCCCGAAGCCACTAGTTTAGCTCGCTCATTAGCTTTTAATAAACATTCAGTGACCTTAACATTTGAAAATTTTAAGAAAGCTCTTTCTAGTTGTCCTCCTGACATAAAAGCGACAGATATCTAGAATTTAGATAAAACTGGATTGTCGACTGTCCATGTTCCTCCGAAGATATTAGCACCTCTTGGCGAGAAGCAAGTTGGGTCAGTGACTAGCGCTGAAAGAGGAACAACAGTGACAATGATAGCCGCTATTAATGCAGGTGGTGGTTTCGTCCCAACAATGTTGATATTTCCCCGTGTAAACTTTAAGTCCTTTATGTTAACTGGATCTCCCGAAGGTAGTATTGGTGGTGCTAATCCATCTGGTTGGTCAAACGAGACTATGTTTGTGAAATTTCTTGAACATTTTATTAAATATACAAAGCCAACCAAGGAACAGCCTGTCATTCTGTTATTAGATAATCATGAAAGTCATATTTCAGTGCCAGGAATACAAATGGCAAAAGATAATGGTGTAACGCTTATGGAAAGTTCTTAGAACTGGCCACTTATAAACAATATAATAAAAAAATAATTCTAAAATTTGAAAATATAACTCTTTGCCAATATTACTGAGTATATATTTCATTCATTTGTCATTTGTTTTACGATTTGGCGGCAAATTGAAAATTGTCTGTGTCACGTCATCATGAATTTAACACGAGAAAATTTTCGTGCAATGATTTTTTATGACTTTCGATGTCATTTAAGTCAACAAGAAAGTTATGATAGACTACGATTGGCCTTTCACGATGAAGCCCCATCTCGTGCGACTGTTTACAACTGGTTTAATGAGTTTAAACGTGGTCGCACTAATCTCACTGATGATTTACGTGAGGGACGGCCTTCTACGGCGACGACTGAAGATAACATCTGTGTTGTGCGGCGTATGATAGAGACTGACAAAAGAATGACCTATCAACAGATTCGGACAAGCTTAGGCATCGGTATGAGTCAAGTGCACAAAATCCTCCACGAACATTTAGTAACCACATGCAACCACTAGACAAGTCAATTTTTGGACCTTTCAAGACTTATTTTAATACAGCGGCCAACGAGTTACTAATGACTCCAGGTCATGTGAGAAAACCATTAACTATTTATGATATTGCTGGTTTGGTGGGAAAATCTTTTCCTCTTGCCTTCACACCAAACAATATTTCTAAAGGTTTTAGTTCAACTGGTTTTCATCCTTTAAATGAAAATATCTACACAGATGCCGATTTTTTGCCTGCATCCTATTCTGATCGTCCACCAGTCGAAACATCACCTACCAGAATTGATGAGGTACCTTTTGAGCAGCCGAGCACTTCAGGTCTCGAAGTTATACAACCGAAATCACCAACTTTAATATCGCAGGTTGTAATTCGTCCTCACCCAAAAGCCGATCCTCGTAAAGGAATACGAAAGGGAAGACAAAAAGGAAGATACAGAATATTAACTGATACACCTGAAAAGCATGAAATTGAAAATACGAAGGCTATAAAACAAGTCGCAGCTAAATCTAAGAAAACAACGTCCACAAATCTTTTCGAAAATAATAGATCGAAGATTAAAAACATATCCAAGCCCAGAAATAGGATCAAGAGAAAAATGTCATCAGAGTCAGAAACCAGTGAAGACTCTGTCAATTTTACATTTAGTGATACATCTGAAGACGTCTCCAATATTGACAGTGAGATTGAAAACTCACAGACTGGACATGTGAATAATGTAGATTGCGATATTGGAGACTATGTTATATTTACATACGAAGGTTCCTATTTTGTTGGAAAGGTGGAATCAATATCTGAAGAGGGTGTACTACTGAAATCTATGCAAAAGTCACTTAAAAATTGGAAGTGGCCTGAATTGTGATGACATTGTAGAAAAAATTAAAACGCCTCAAAGAGTTAACAAAAACAGAGAAATTTATTATGTTCCAGAAGTACACAAGTACTGGGACTTCTGCTAAACTTCATAATTTCATAATATAACTAGACATTTCTAGTCTTCTAATAAAAACTAGTCCTAATCTTCTTCTTCTTATATATAAAAATGAATCGCAAAATGTGTTGGTAAGCGCATAACTCAACAACGCCTCGACCAATTTGGCCAAATCTTTTTTTAAAATGTTCGTTGAAGTTCAAGGATGGTTTTTACGGCGAGAAAAATTAGAATTATTGCTGGAAAAACCCTAAAAATAGCCCTTTTCTTATTCCCATACAAATGATTTGTAACTAAAACGTAGTCAATTTGAGCTTTATTGCTATGGTATAAAGTTCATATTAAATTACAAGCACTCACTGTTGTCTAAGCAATGTAGGCTTTTTGACAGGACGAAGTCTGTCGGGTCAGCTAGTGACTGATTAAAAAGTTAAGAAAGAAATACTTAATTATAATTTGCAAAGCTGATTGTTTAAATATTTAAGTTTTTATAATTTTGTAAGGTATGTACCTGATTTAACTAGATCTATACTGAATAAAACGGTTGTAGTAAAAATAAATTAAAATTTCCTTAAAATATCCATGTTTTACCCCCAAATTCTCGATGCGTCCTAGGTACACCCTGGTACTGGCTAAGGTACATAGGGTGTGTTGTACCTTGGCCTTCTTTACATTTTTTTTTAAAACCTTTTAAATACATATAAATATTTATTCGACATTTCTGATATTTTGTCGGTTAATACTCGAATAATTGACCTCCCAAAATATGCAAACAGGGTTTGTCTATGGTACGTTAAATTGAAATAAAAAATAAAAAACTGAAAAACCGACCTTGGTACAACCATATAGCAAATAACTATTTATAAAATAAACAGTTTCATCCGTTATCTTGATGAAATGTTTCACCTTTTTTTAATCCACTCTATATCATTTTATCCCTAAATATAATAGTCACAAATATTTTTACAAAGCCGTAATACATAAATTCAGATTTTATTACTAATTACATTTTTAATCAAACAACAACTGGTACTGGTACTGTTAGGCAGCCTACGGTGGCAAAAAATAATGTACATAATAATGTATTATTTACGGCTGCCTAGAAGAGATTGCTGCCTAGTAATAAGGCCGCCAATTGTTTTCTCTCTTTTTTCTTATTGTATTAATTTTCCTGAGATGTGTGCTAAGTTGAGTGCAATAAAGTATATTGTTATTATTTTGTCGTTTGAAATAATATTCCTTTAAATTTATAGCCAGTCTTATAAATGGCAAAATTATATATGGTGTATATTTGGACTTGTTTATCCGTCTCTGAGGTAAATCCAAAAATTTATCGAATGTACAATCAGTGGCGGATTTATAAATTTGCCGCTCGTGGGGTATTCAATTTTGCCGCCCTTACTCTATTAACGCAATTACAACATTATGATTTGAGCTCTACAGTCCTCATTACATCGGCTTTTTACCGTCATTAGTATGATTGTGAATTAGGGGATGGTTCTATCAGTTTCTGGATTATTTTTACAACCCACGATTTAGTGAAGAGTACATACGATCGAGCAAAAACAGCAGTATGCACCAATTGTAAGGTGGGGTAAGGTACGCCTTAAAAATATTTACACTTGTTATTATGTTTTATCAATTTTACTTGCTTCACCATGCTTCACTGGAAAATATTCTTAATAAAAAATGCTTCAAAAAATAACTTTGTCCCTGGTACTATGAGATGGTTTTGAGATCACGACCTTTCGCAATCCATAGAGCCATGGAGACCAAAAACTACTTCGTTTTTCAGAAGGCATGTTAAGCCATTGTTCCGGCTACGTCTGAAGTCATTAATATCATCCAATCTGTATAAGGCCCGTGTAGAGGGGGTCATGGCCCCTGCAGTGGAGACGTTACAAGGCTGATGATGATAATAGAGCCATGCGAAATTATATATCCAAGTTTATTTATTTTATTGCAGTCTATAATGTAGTAATAAGATGTTCACAAAAACAAACCATGAAGTTTGGATAAAAGTTCTCCAAATTATGTTTTCGCAGGAACAAAGATAGACTTTATAATGATTAATTTCCATTTGTTCACTCGCCGTGACTCAAAACGACTACGTAATAGTAATAAGTACCTAGTAGAAAATAAATATTTGAATGTAAAATAAATATGTCATATAATTATTGAATTGAAATTGTAATATCGAAACGCTATTGGAATATTTTAAAAATTTATTATCACATAAGTACCTATATTTTACAGAGCGTTAAGTGATCTTTCATATACGAATTACGTTCATAAGGATGTTCAGTGTGGAAGAGATCGCTGTTCTATTGCACGTTGTGGATATCTTACTTTGTTGTACAATATAGTCTCTAAATATATATATATGTATCAAAATTGGGGCAAATTTGCCGCCCCTTTAATTTGCCGCCATCCGCCACTGTGTGCGATGGTAAAAATTCGAAATGAATTACTATCACATACCACGGACTTTACCATTATATATTGGTGTTTCTTATGTTTTACTAGAAAATCTTAAAATTTACCGTAAGCTTTTTATAACATCGCAGCTCCCAAAATTCTTCGAGTTGTATTAAATAAAAAAAAATATACATTTTAACATTATTTATTAAAAACTGAGTTCATCTTATTTACCCATTAGAATTTACTTACATCTGAACGTTATAATGAAGAAATTGTATAATAATAATAATAATTGTTGTATCATTTATCAAGGTGTTTCACACCAACTAATCTATTATATCATTAAGGATCAAATGTAACTAAATTCTAATCTTATTATTCTATTATGGCAGTGTTTCTATCAACGTAATAATAGTATAATTACCATCACTACCTAAAGCTCATTGTTAATGTAATACATATTTCGAATGAATTAATAAAAATATATTGGTCTGAATTTTAAATGTATGCATCAATATTAATAACTTACAGTCAATCTGTATATCAAATTATCACAAATTAGATTACCATTGTTACATAAATAGTTGGATTTTTCTGTGACTAGGGAACTTTTCATCAAATGGTATGAGAAATTAATCATAATATATAATTAATAATAGTCCGTAAACAATTCCGATTTATAGAATCTATTTATATAATAATAAATCACATCATGATATAGGAATAAAATCATGTTAAGAATCGGTAATAGTGGACTTATATCACGCAAATCTTAAGAATATTGCTTTGGTGTGACCTTATTATGATAGAAAAACATTTAGGCGTACATTTTTGAATTCAAACTGAACAGTTAAATTTTTAATTCATTAATAGTTTAAGTATATATATGTAGATGACAGGATGTTATGTCACCTGCGTATTTTTTATTATAATTTTCTGTACAAAATAACTACAATAATCGATACTTATTTTAGGTTTTATTTCTTAGATTATTTTATGAATGCTATGTGTTTTTGATGCATACTGTGCATCTCGATACAAGCTCCAGTAACCTTCCAGATTTAAGAGTAGATCTTTTAGGACTAGCGAATTGTTCGCTATCTTCTATAGTCGTTAACCAGAAACTAAGTTTATTGGCAAAGTGGTGGCATGTTCCACCTTCGCCGTTACACTCAATAAATGGTGTAGCGCGGAAGTCTTCTAAGCATGAGCCTGGACTTGCCAAAGCTTGACCACCGCCTTGACCACCAGCTCCCGTGTGCTAAAAATAATAATATTTATGAAATATTGCGTTATATAACATAATTAATCTATTTTAATATATTATTGTGTATTTATCCTATTATGCCGTTTATATATTTCATTTAATATGATAGAAGAGGTCGGTGGCACAGTGGATAGTGCGCTCAGTCTGCTTAATGTATTTAAGCAACGTTCGGAAGGGCTGGTCATAGGATGGATGACCTTAAAATATATTATCTCGAGCTCTTCCGTACTTCGGAAGGCACGTGAAACCGTTGGTCCCGGCTGCGTCTGCAGTCGTTAACACCGACCATTCCGCACTGGGCCTGCGAAGTGGGTCTATTCCATATATTTATGTTAATTTACCTAGAAAAATCAACATGTACATAAATTTGAAACGACTGCATCAAATTCTATTTAATATCGATCAAGTAATAATGGAGGCTAATGCAATGCAAAAAGTAAATGTAATCTTTTCTTATTATAACTATTTGATCAATTTTACATTCAAAATGCTATAGTGGAACATATTCTTAATAAAAAATACTTTAAAAAACCAATTTGCCAGGGACAAAGTTTTCATTAAAAAATCTTATCTATTTATTTAATTCAAATTTCTTACCATTACGAAACTGTATCCAATCCAAAGTTCACTCCATCCTCCCGGACAAGAAGGAATATCCAAAGTCTGACTGTGTACAGCTATTACATTTGCAGGAACTTCGCAAACCACACACCTTGAAATATATCTGGCAATATCGTTTCCTTCAACAGGCATCATTGGTATAGCTTCGCCAGTAGATAACCAATAACTTCTGTCATTTCGACTAGCATAATTACACACGTCATTGAGGTCACAGAATAAGAAAGGCATTGTGCTGAATTTTCTCACACAAGATCCCGCATAACCTAAATCTTGATTATGGGCTTTCTCGTTACCATCTATGTAAAGCAATGAATATCCATCCCATAGTTTTACATGCCCTGGTTCGCATTGCGGTACAACAGCACTTTGACTATGTCTAACTAAGAGAATTCCTGTCAAATAATCTTGGTTAAGACACGGTGCACCAGGTGCTCCAGGAATGCCTTGTCTACCTGTAATTCCAATTTCTCCTCTATCACCCTGCAAACCTTGAAGTCCTTGAGGACCAGGAGGTCCAGGAGGCCCCTGTGGCCCTGGGTAACCACGATCACCTTTTTCTCCAGGTGCTCCATCTAATCCGGGTGAACCAGGCGAACCGTCTAATCCAGCAAGGCCATTTAAGCCAGGTGGACCACGTGGTCCCGGTTCTCCTTTGGGTCCATAAATGATCGACGCGGCATCGCCTTTATCACCCTTAGCTCCTTGTACTCCTGTATATCCGATTCTACCTGCGAATCCTCGGTCGCCTTTTTCACCTTGCATACCTTGTGGCCCGGGTTGTCCATCAAGGCCGTTCAAACCACGTTCACCTTTATCACCTTTTTGACCCTGTATACCAGGTGAACCTTGTGGCCCCTGGTCTCCCTTTTCACCTGGTAAGCCATATCCAGTAGCACCTTTATCTCCCTTATCGCCTTTAGCACCAACAACACCAGGAGGTCCAGGATAACCTGGTGAACCATCGATACCTGGTGGACCTGCCAGTCCTTCACGACCTTGATCACCTTTTTCTCCCATAGGACCAGGAGGCGCTGACGCGCCTTGTCGGCCAGTTGGTCCAGGAAGTCCTGGCAAACCTCTCTCGCCCTTTTCACCAGATGCTCCTTTTAAACCTGGCCGGCCATGTTTACCTGGTATACCAGGTAATCCTTTTTCTCCAACCACTGTTCTTCCCGGTATGCCTGCAGGACCTGAGGGTCCCATGTCACCTGTAAAATAGTTGAATAGTAAGCATAAATACTTGGATATTTATCTACATAATTTGTATTTATAATTTTTCTTGTATTCCATTTTGTGTCTATGAATTTATTGTAACGAATTAGTTCTCGTTTCATTTCATTATATTTCCTTAATACAAAATAAAAAAAAATGTCACGTATGCCAAACCTTTGTAACATATTCTATTTTATAATCAGGACCTACTAGTCTAGAGATTGTGACAAAAATGTGCAAGAGCTTTATAAAGCTTGATATTACAATATGGGGCAGTACAAAGAGTATCAACTGAGTATCTAGTGCGGAAGTCAAGTGCTTGAATACCTGATGGAAGCGGGGCAATGTAAAGTGCAAAAACTCACAACAAATATGAAAATTGATTAACTTTTTAAAAAGTACTGCTCAGATAACACAATCGTGAAATGCAGTGACTCAGCAGATATCAGAAGGTGGTGGGAAAATGAGCTCTGAAAAAACTTTCCTGAAAAACACTTCACCAAGTGTTAATTAATTAGGCACAAAATTTTTAGTACTCATAAAGAATACTCAGACTTTTATAACAACATCGTAATCATTAGAAGTTGTTCCTGCGCAATGGGTACCGAATGACCTTAGTACTTCAAGATATAACAATATCAAGCTTTAGAAAGCTCTAAAATTTACCAAATAACTTTATAGTCAAACTTTACTAACCTTTCTCTCCAGTAAATCCAGTTAGACCTCTATCTCCTTTTTCTCCAGAATACCCTTGGTCGCCCTTCTCGCCTTGTAGTCCTTGCAGGCCTGGTAAACCTCTATCTCCTTTATCGCCTTTTTCACCGGTAAAGCCTTGGGGACCCATTTCTCCTTTCTCTCCTTTAACGTTTATCGATGGGCCAGGAGGACCTCTATCTCCTTTGAGTCCAGGATAACCAACTGGACCCATCGGACCAGGTGGGCCCTCAGGACCACTATCGCCCTTAAATCCGTTGAATCCATTTTGCCCAGCTGATCCTTTTTCACCCCTCTCACCTTTAGCACCTTGTGGTCCAGGCAATCCGGAGTCACCCTGTATTCCTGGTGCGCCATCTATACCTGGTAATCCTGGTGTTCCAGGTTCACCAGGTAACCCTCTATCTCCTTTTATTCCTGGGAAGCCAGGAATACCGGCATCACCTTTCGGACCTGGATATCCGGGTATTCCATTTCGGCCTGGCAAACCACTGTCACCTTTTGGTCCAACTGCACCTGGTATCCCAAAACCAGGTGCTCCTGTATCACCTTTATCACCCTTTTCACCTCTTGGACCAGGTGCACCGTCCAATCCATTAACTCCTGGTATTCCGGGCTCTCCTTTCTCTCCTTTATCAGATGCCTGACCTGGTTCGCCTTTGTGACCAGGCATACCAGGAGGACCCAAATTTCCTTTTTCACCTGGTGATCCCATCCTTCCTGCAATTCCCGGTTGTCCTGGGTAACCTTGATCTCCTTTTAAGCCTGGTAATCCGATTGGACCTGGTGGTCCGTCTAATCCAGGTTCTCCTGGTACTCCTTGTAATCCTATATCTCCTTTGTCACCCTTTTCTCCTGGAGTACCCTGTATACCTGGAGAGCCAGGAGTTCCTGGTCTACCTCGTGATCCTGGCAATCCTTTTTGTCCTTCACGTCCTGGTATACCTGGCTCTCCTTTCAGACCAGGCAGTCCAATTACGCCTGGTTTCCCTTGTAATCCTGGATAACCTGGTTGTCCTTTTGGTCCCTCTCTCCCTGGAATACCTGGTGTCCCTGCTATGCCAGGAGGACCCACTGGGCCTGGCTCTCCTTTTAATCCATGGGGTCCGACTTGTCCTGGTCGTCCAGTGTAACCTCTGTCTCCTTTTTCTCCTGGTAATCCTATTGGTCCCGGTGGGCCATCGTTACCGGGTATTCCTGATATCCCTCTTGGGCCCTGATCTCCTTTAAGGCCGGGCAAGCCTGGAGGTCCCGACGGCCCTGGCATTGAAGGGCCAATTTCACCCTTATCTCCTTTAGATCCTGGGATGCCTGGGAAACCCTGTGGACCTTTTGCACCTTGAGTTCCTGGGAACCCTATAGGGCCCAAGTCACCTTTATCTCCTCTTGGTCCTGGAAGACCTCTAGGTCCAGCTGGTCCATGTCTACCTGGTAATCCTAAATCTCCCTTTTCACCTGGTCGCCCTGGTATTCCTTTATCACCTTTCTCGCCAGGCTCACCTGAACAATTTAAAATAAATTTAAAAAATACAGTGACTACATGAAAAAATAGAGAATTAAAGGTATTTAAAAATTTATGTTGAAATAATTTAGTGGCCATGTATAAGCTCTGTATAGTTAGTTGTAGAAATAAGATTATTATAGATTTTAATCGATTCTACAGTGACCAAATAGAAAATTTCAAAGATTTTCTATAGAACTATTTAAGACCAATTATTATTTATCGTAATGTATAAAATGACGTGCATCGTTAAAGGGAATTAGATTAGTTAGTCAGTTGGTGCAGTTGAGTTTTCAGTAAGAATAAATATACTGATAATAATATACCTGGTGGTCCCTGAGCTCCAGGTTCACCTTGTGCTCCAGGGTCACCTCTAGTAAGTTCTAAATTTTGCGGCGCACACTGCCCTCGTTCACCTTTTGGACCCGTTCTTCCTGGAGTTCCTTTATCTCCTTTAAGGCCTTTATCACCAGGTGTTCCCTTTTCTCCTTTTACACTGGCTCCCTTCATACCAGGAGTTCCTGGGAAACCATCATTACCAGGGATTCCGTCTATACCCGGGGGTCCGGAATCCCCTTTATCGCCTTTGGGTCCTGGCATACCAATTTGACCTCGATCTCCTTTGGGGCCATCATATCCTCTATCTCCTTTAGGTCCGATTGGTCCTGGCGGTCCACGATCACCTTTGCGGCCTGGTTCACCTTTTATTAAATTAGACGGAATCATGGCGTCTTTACCTGGTTCACCTGGAGGACCAATTGGCCCATCATCACCTCGTTCACCCTATAAAAGGAATAGAAAAAGTCTGAATAATTTATTTAAGTAAAAAAGGATTAAGTGATCCTATAATAGACACTATAGTAGCTCGGTGGCATAGTGGATAAGTGCCGCGGCCCGTGATCGTTGTCATTAAGCAACTTTCGCAAGGGTCGGTCGCAGGATGGGTGACCAAAAAATTATTATCTCGAGCTACCGTGCTTCGGAAGGCACGTTAAGCTGTTAGCCCCGGCTGCATTTGCAGTCGCTAATACCCTCCAATCCGCATAAGGGCCAGCGTGGGGGGGTCATGGCCCATCCTCCTTAACCATCCATAAGGAAGGCCTGAGCCCCTGCAGTGGGGACATAAAATGGTATACTGATGATGATAGTAGACACGAATAACTTACTGGTGCTCCAGCCCCACCAGGTAATCCATTAAGACCATCAGCTCCTCTTTCTCCTGGAACACCAACTGGACCAGGTGGTCCTCTTTCTCCAGGGGCACCAGATAAACCATCCAATCCACGGTCTCCTTTAGGACCTGGTCCGCCAGGATAACATTCATTACATCGGCCTCCTATATCTCCTTTAGGACCTGGGTTACCTGGTATACCATCAAAACCAGGACTACCTTTGTCGCCTTTATCTCCCGGTGGACCCATTTCACCAGGGCTTCCTGGTGTTCCTAAGGTTGAATTACCTGGTACACCACGTAAACCTGTATAGCCTCTTTCTCCCTTTTGTCCCTTTTCACCTGGAATACCTGGTAATCCACTGTCACCTTTATGACCCTGTGAAAAGTAAAGCAATTTTGTAACACGCCACAATACATTGGTTCCCGCCCGGAATAGCTCAACAGCAATAAGCTTTTCGGATATTGTTAAAAAATTATAAAAAATCTATTGTATGACGACGTATTATGACAGTTTTGATGACGGTCGAAAAGTTAGTCGCAAAGAACGAACCATATCTCAGTTTCTATGGGATTTTGGCCCTAAAGCGGGGAATTCACTAGACAGGCATGCGGGCAAATCTGCCGGGCATGTCTGCCGTTCACAACACACTACACAGACTCGTCAGTAAGTGTTCGACGCGCTAAGCGATGGGTTGTGTTACCAGTGCATATTACAATGGTTACGAAACGGAGAAAAATAGCATTAGTTGCTGCTGCATTAATTCTAAGATGCATGTCGCACGCTTTGTTTGAATTGAAATTTATTATTTATATTATTAGATATCAACTTGAAGTAATTACATATTTCTTTTTGCTCACGTTCGCCTTCTATATTCTACAGCATTGTCTATACTTTTGTGCTTATCTTTTATTTCCTTTTACATGTGTGTGTGTGGTGAATAAAAACTTCATAAATTCAACATATTTTATTCGGAGTTATACCTCCACCTCATAAACATTTTACAACAAACTTACCTGGTATAATACCCTACATTTGTTCATAAAATTTTGATATGCAGTATTGCGTAACCTTTAACCTTCCATAAAGATGGATATTTTTTATATTCGTTTATAAAATCTTCCCAATTTTTTTTTACTTTCATTAAAACTCATTTTGTTTCACGTCGTCGACGTCCGTAATGCTTGCTGTCCGGCTCGGGTCTGAGCAGTCAGTCTGCCCGCTGTGAGCATTCACCTACATACTCGTACTTGTCTGTGCCCGCGCAGACAAAATGAGATCTCACGGACGGGCGACGGGCAGTCTGAATGAGACTGCCTGTGACGGACCTACACTAGGCAGACATGACACAGACCTATAGTAACGAGGTCTGGCAGGCATGTCTGTAGACTTGCCCGCGGGCATGCCTGTCTAGTGAATTCCCCGCTTAAAGCTGCAGTTTTTAGATGATATTTCTCCGATATTATTGGCGGTAATAAAGTAGAGTCTGGCACTAGCACTCTGGCCGTACAGTAGAAAGACATACACACGACATTACAATCTTGTAATATCTATCCAAGATACCTAGAAAACTATTTAACCCTCTCCTGAGTTAAAGAAAACATTATTCTGTTGTTTGATACTTTTGAATGACAAAAAGAATCCTAATAAATTATTTAACATTCCATTGTTAAATTTTATATATAAACATACATGATAAGCTAAATTTGCTTGTAAGTACTTAATATGTATTTTCGGAAAAAAATAGTTTTAATTAAGGATTCAATTTTATTTATCGGTTTGATTTAAGATCTTATATTAACATCTTAATCAGTTTATGCCCTAAGAATTATTTACCTATGAAGATTTATCTTTTAAAAATACTTACCGGAATAGTTAACCCATCATCGCCCTTAAGTCCTCTAGGCCCTTGGGGCCCCACAGGACCATCGTAGCCTCTTGGGCCTACACCACCCGGTGCTCCATCCAGTCCTGGTTCACCTTTTTCACCTTTGTGGCCAGCAGGTCCTTCTATTCCCGGTGCTCCTGGCTCACCTTGCCCACCTGGTGGCCCCATAGGGCCAGGTTGACCTTGTTCTCCAGGTTTCCCATCAGTTCCTTTTGGTCCAGCTGGACCAGGGTACCCTCTTGGTCCTTGTGGCCCTGGAGGGCCGCGAGATCCAGTCAAACCACCTGCTGGGCCAGGTATACCCTTCAGACCTCGCGGTCCTGGTGATCCATCTCTTCCGGGTTCACCTTTACTGCCAGGTCTACCAGCTAAGCCTGGCAAACCATCATAGCCACGATCTCCTTTTTGTCCCATTGGTCCTGGTGCACCATACATTCCGTCCCGACCCTTAAAGAAGTTAACACGTTTTACAATTTATAGTGCATACACCTACATTATCTTTAATATTTTATTATGAAAAAGTCTTACCCGTTCTCCTGGATTTCCTCTAATGCCTTTTTCTCCCTTTGCACCTATTGGTCCAGGAATTCCTGGTTCGCCCATTGGACCTGTATCTCCTTTTTCTCCTAAGTTACCAGGTTCACCTTTAGCGCCTTTTTCGCCCATATCACCAGGACTTCCCCTAATAGCGCCTTTTGTATTATCGAATACCGGTAAGGTGCCAGTTGCTGGACAAGCAGGTCCTTTATCACCCCGATCACCTCTATCACCTTTATCTCCTTTGATTGCCAATCCCCTTGATCCTTTCGAACCTTTGTCTCCTTTTGCTCCAGCTGGACCCTAAATTATTAATTTTTTTTTAAATATGTGACTTTGTAATTATTATATTTTAATAACAGAAATTTCTATAAAATACTACAAACAACCTTATATTAATACGTTAAGCAAAAACTTTGGGCTTAATGATAATTACGCAGACGGAAGAGTATGATATCCAGTGAAAGTTAACATGGAGAAGAAGTGCAAAATGCATTTTACATACATACGTCTAAAAATAAATCAAATTAATTAAGGAACCACTACACACACAGTAGTGTAATGGTTATCCGTATAACACTTTTATGTAGTCATATATAAATAACTATAGTTTTGATAATTGACCCTTAATAATGTTGAAACTTCCTATATATTATCCAATTCGACCGCTGGACGATAGTATCCATAAATATAATACACCGTTACAAAAAGTTCTGTTCACTGCAGGTCGTCTTAGTTTATGTTTTGAAAACACGTCTCGTAACATGTGTCACTTACCATTGGGCCAGTATTTCCTCTAGGCCCTGTTAAACCCGGAGGTCCCTGCGGCCCGACTGGACCTTGTCTGCCTTGCATACCGTCAGCTCCCGGCTCTCCTTTTTGGCCTTTAGGATAACGACCCGTGTATCCTGGTTCTCCTTTGTCACCTTTATCACCTCTCGGCCCCGTAAAACCTCGAGGACCTTGCATTCCTTTTGCACCAATAGGTCCAGGCTCACCCTTTTAAATGAGATAATTAAAACTTGAATTCATAATCATAATAATGTAATAGTATTACATTGTTTATATACATACGTCTGTTCCGTTGCATCCATCTTTACCAGGTATACCAGGCATTCCTGATTCACCTTGTGGACCTTGTATTCCCGTAGGTCCAATAAAACCTTGTGCACCTGGCTTTCCCCTGTCCCCTTTTGGACCCCGAGGACCTTGTGGACCCATTTGACCTTTTTCGCCTTTCGGTCCTTGTGGACCTTCTATTCCCTCATGACCGGGAAGACCACGTAGGCCTTGAGGTCCAGGTACGCCTGGGAATCCCTAAAAATAAACGAATGTATAAAATTTATTATCCACGTAGTGTTTCTGGGGTGAAATCTTAAAATGAATATTTTGTCACATACTCTATTGCCTTTTTCTGCAAAACATTTTGGTACACAGCAACCAGGCGCTGTACAGTTGCGATCGAAAGCTGTAGTGCGTTGCCTCGTTACAGGATCATAGACAGCGAAGTTAAGGCCAGGACTGGGCGGTGCACGTGGAGATGGCACATCTGGCCTCGCCGACAGACCGTAAGTTTCATAAGATCTTGCAGTTTCAGTTGGTTCTGCTGGAGGATATCTGGGAGGCCATCCTCTATCGATACTGTTCCATTCTTCTAAATACTCATCATTTTGCTGAAATAACAATTATTATGATTAATTTCTGTTTTAAAAACTTACTATATAATAAATAATGATAGAAAAGAAAATTCTTTATATACTATTCACCATCATTCCAAAACTTTAATACGTACCAACATTTTATATGATGTCTAATAATACGTTAGTCAAATCATTGCAGAATAAGATGGTTTGAGTGAATGAATACATTAAAAATATACGATTCCTACAGTCAATATTTCGATAGCACCGATCAAAATTGACAAATATATAATATTATTTGACATAAGATAAGTGGTTATGAATACATTTAAAAAAAAAAGTAATTAGGACCAATTTTTGTGGCCCTTTAGTTTATAAGAGCTAATTTTGACGATCATTACCTCTATAGCCGAGTGGTTCGTATCTTTAACTTATAGCGCACTAATATTATAAACACGACAGGTCAAAACTCGTTTTGTACGCAGAAAATATTTGTATGTTGTGTAAAATTCGTGCATGTGTTAGTTTTGAATTAAATTAAAAAGTCATCAGTCAAAGAGTAGCGTTTGCGTAAAGGGACTATTTAATTTGTACCGGTGTAATTGTTTAAACATTGTTTTGTTTTTGCAATTTGATAATAAAAAATCATCCCCACTTTACAAATAGGGGAGGTATCCTAAAAAGAATTTTGATTACTGTTATGTGTTAAGTAACACTCGCAAGGTTAAGAAAAATCGGATTGACGTATAATCATCAAAATTGGCCAAGCCGTTTGGTTTTTACAATGCCATATAGGAACAAACATACATACACTCATAAACACATTACCCTCCTTTGCGTTACGCAATCAGGTAACTATATATGTATAAGTTGTTCTTTAATAAAAAGTATTACCTATGTTAGTTATAATTGGAGAGCATTCAAAATTTAAATACAAATAATTTAACAATTATATTGCTTGAAATTTTCGGTTGACCGTCAACTCACTGGTGTACGATACAAGTGAGTTGCGCGTCAATAGAATTTTCTTGCTTAAAAAGAACTTTTTACGACGATTTTTCACTAAATTAAGTACCTATTAAAAAAGATAGGCACGTTGATTCAATTTATAAAAATTAACGGATTGTTCAGGTTCATACGTAATTTTTTATGAGCTGCTGACTGCTAACAATGTGAAATTATAAGTAGGATTGACAATTCAGTAGTTCTTACTACCTATTTCGATAAAACGAAATAATTTTTCGGTAACTTATTTCGATGTTCATGGAGACCAACAAACATCATATAATCAGAATCCTGGTCAGGCCAGGCCATATGGTCAGGCTCATTAGAACCTACAGAAACTATGCTGATAATTGGTAAGTTTTTTCAATATAGGTAAGTACATCCCTACCCCAAATATCTGTGCACGCCCTTGCCGGTTTCAAAGTATTCGACATCTCTGAGTTCCCGGGTTCTATTCGGTCGGATCAATGTAGAAAATGGATTTTTCTATATTCTCTTGGGTTTGGGTGTTATGATACCTTCGTTGTCTTAGATACTCCATAATACGGGGGCTTAGCTACTCATTTCGAAATCTGAGCAATCTGAATATTGTCTTATATTTAGGTACATTTAATTATAATTATATAAATTACTAGCTATTTTAATAAATATTAAACTATTTTAATAAATATTGAAAGAATTTTATAAAATGGTTTTGTGCAATACAAACAAACAAACCAAACTTTCCTCTTTATGGTATTAGTAAAGATTGGCAGCTTACAACAGGAAAAATCGCGTAACAAACGTTTTAAAATTAGTTTATTTGAGGGTGTTTAAATTTAAAGAGAGACATTCTAGAATCGCATTGGATGACGAATGAATGACATTGACATTTCTATTTTATAAAGATAAGTTTTTCTTCACAGTAGCTATTTTAACGATGTTAAGAAAATCATAAGTATTTTTTTACTGTAATTTTTATAACGTAACTGTTATCATAAATATTTGCCTTACAAATTTAATTCGATTTGTAAATAGGTGTGTTTTTAGGGTTCCATAAGAATAAGGAAACCTTATAATTTCGCCATGTCCGTCTGTGTGTCAAAAACTATTGGTACTAGACAGTTGTAACTTGGCATGAGTATACACGTGTTTAGGGTACCCCAACATGTAAAGTGGGGATGATATGTTTTTCGTCTTTCCCATAGTGTGGGGTATTATTGGATAGCTATTTTAAAAATATTGAGTGCTTGAGAAGACTGTTTTTCGATTTAGTAAACCGTTCGTCAGTGTAAAAACTATTTTCTTTATTGTATCGGAACTGGACATTATGGTATTTTGTTTCAGATTCACATAATAAATTTAAGCTACTCAATTTGGGCACTGAACAATGTTCCTATAAAATAACTATCATAATTAGTTACATTTAATTAAAATAATTTCTCATTACAGTATTGAAATTTGTTTATATACCTACGCATTTAATGCTTATTATAAATAAAAAATAAATAGCTGTTCTTTTGAATAATTACCAAGGAAACAGATATTTACGTACTCACAAAGTAAGCGATACCCATTTTTTCAAATTATATAATGTACGAGTACATAAGAGAGATGGACTCATTAAGTCGGGATACACACCCTTACCTATCATCATATTTGAAACAGATAGTGTAACGACCAAAAACATATGCCTATAAATGTACTATATATAAAGACAAGATTTATAAAATGCATGATATAGATACCTTCTGCAACATTTGTTATCTAAAACATTTGCTTGACTTTATTATTAGGTAGATATATTTATAAATATATTGTTATAGGTAACGCGAATAGCGTTATCAAATCTAATGAAACTTGATCTATATGCTTCGTTCCATTTTAAACCATTAAGAAGAATTAATGGATACTTTACATGACATGCACTTTTTATTGAACAATGTAGGTATAGATGGTTTTATTTATGTGTTTAATATTCTTTATTATCTCACATCATCAGAACCGCTGTACAGAGAGATATCGTTAGATTCCTTTTTGCAGCCGAAGTGTTCTTAGATAGGTGACGTAAAAAACAAATGTGGCGGCTGGGCGACGCCATTTTACTTAATGTATAATAAAATAAATAAATATTAAACAACATTACATTACTGCTCAAATTACAAGATAAGAAGCCAAACCCCATCGTAATATTTAGTACCTAAAATAACGAAGTTACCATAACATTCCAGACTGTAGACATTATAGAAAACAATATTTTCTATATAAACCCGACTGGAATTCAAACCCGGGACCTGGCGGAAGATGGTGACACTTTAAAACTGATGCGCGAACCACTCCGCTAAGGCGCTCGTTATGTATATCATGTAATGTACCAAAATACATTAATTCCAATCAGATTACGTAAGCGAATCATGATGAAACTAATTAAGAAGCTTCCATATTTTCTGACCAAAAATTCACGATAAGCTTTATTTCTAAAATTATTTTATACCACATTGTTTATGTCTTTTTTATTCATTGTTGCACCCGACCCGTATTTGGCATTATTACAATTATGGTACTTTTGAACTAAGAAGCTGAAACATGATACATATTTGTATTTCTTGCTCACTTTCCCACAAATCTGTCTATATCTAATATGTGTCACATATATGAAATGGTATTCACTGTTCTGTTCAAACCACACACGTCACTTTAACCAATTCTTAGTTGATACCAACATGGGTATAAGTTAATTATTGGTATTAAATACCTAAATACAAAAGGACTAGTAGCTCCAAATTTATATTTTCTCACTTTGACATTTCTACATTTAGAAACTTTAACTTTAATAACTATAATTAAAATTGTTGGACTTTGAGAAAATATGCACATAGTTTTGTATTATAGTCTACAAATCAAATACAAATTAACGAACGCAGAAAAACTTTATTCGTGCGTTTAAAAAACGCAAAAGTCACAAAGCAGTCACAGAGTTAAAACCATCAACGTAAAGTTAGTAAGTAAAGAAAAGATTTAAACGTATAACCAACTTCAAAATAAGAAATTTGTTAATTCTACTTAATATTTTTATTAATATTTAAGGAAATATCCTTCCACATGATTACACACTAATTTATTCTGCAATTTTACAAAAATATTATATCGATAAGTAATAATAAACTAAACTAAGCATATTGGCCGCACGAATTTTTAATAACAAATAAGATTGCATACGATTTAAGTAACATTAAAAAAATGGAGTAACGAGATGCTCCAAATAAAAATTGTTCAAGCACAAGTATCCATAAAAATAAGATTTAAATATATAAAACTAAACTGTAATGAAACTGGGTTTGCGCAATGAACATCATTTACATCCGAGAGATGATAAACTTTGTCGGTCGTTCCTATAATTGCGTAATTGTAATACATTTATATATATTTATATAGGTAGTTTTATGAATATCATATTTTAATATATAATCGTTTCATGTTTTTATTTACTAAAATATCAGCTTAACCTTTCAGTAATTCAAAACTTAAGAAACACCATTCTACATAATTTATAGCATACTGAATGTGTAAAGTTTGGATACTGTTCTTGTTTTAAGAAATTGCAAAAAGACAAATTCATGCGGACGGTCAAGTCGCCGTCGGACCCGCCAGCGCTTCCCGCCGCACGCCGCGCCATTCCCCAAACCAAGAAAACTTTTTATCTAATGCATTTTTAATGAGTTCACTATAACAAGTTTGAAAATATAATTGTGTAAGTATAAAAATATTAATTTACTCACTGTGTTTACTCCTAACGGCACCAGCGCTACTACCAACCTAAAGGTAGATATTTACAAAAATTACATTTCAGTAATAACAAGACCATTTTAATACAATATTTCCTTCATTCAAGTAACTGAAATTAACTATTATTTTTTTTTCAACTTTATAAAAATAATACACGTAAGTTGTCTTACCACAGTACGGAGACCGCCATGGCCCCGAGCGCGCTGCGCCTGAATCCCGTGCGCGCGCGCCGTTTGTGCCGGGATACTAAAGGAAGGAGGAGAGTTCGGGCAGCGGCCAGACCACCCCCGCCCCGCTGAGCGCGCCTGCTTCTGTCCTGCTGCGGGTGCCGAGGGCGCGCGGCCAGTAGTACGGCGCAGCCATGTCGGGCCCGGCGCGCGCGCGTATATTCGCGCTCCACCTAGCGCCCGCCGCGTTTTTCCTACTACTATGGTATCCTGAATCTACTACAGCTGTAAGTACATAACACATTTCACTTATATTAGCGTGAAAACAAAATTTCCCCCAAATAACACTTTCCACATCAAAAAGACTTCAACGCACTCTACCCTAACCTCTAATCTAAACGCTAACCTTCAGGAGTACTTAATGATTTCACGAAATGAACGAGTTTCTTTTTTATCCACCATCATATAGGAAATACAGACAGGGTGTGCCTGCCCCCATCTCTCAGAATATTCCTATTGGTCAGTCAGAAATAAATAAACAAGCTCCAAATAATCTATCTAAGCATCGACGGTAAATATGTAAAGAAAATTAATCCTAAACATTTCATTTAAATAATCAACTATATGACCCTAACAACTAAATCACTGTAAAGTTATATATCTCTAGCCCATATTATATCTGTGCCCATAGTGATATAAGTTGCCGATGATTTTACTATTATAATATCAACTATCAAAGTTTCTGCTACACAAAACATTTATTTGTCAATTATAATCATATATCGTGTCACTTGCTTATCCCTTTATGCCGAACTCGTTATTTATCTTCTCATTATATCCCAATCTAGAATAGAAAATGGTAGTTTTATAAACTTTTATAAAGTAAAACCGTATCAGAAAATAAAATATTTAAGAGAAGAAAGCATAAGGAATTAAGTACAGCTCTATATTTATATGTTGACATCTTTGTTGTTTGTCAACATGATCGAATGTTCAAGATTTTCATTGTACAAAGCGAGTATACCATTGACCCTGGAATGGGGTATTCTTGCACCAGGGTGATAGGGGATCCCAAAATAAATAAATATATTTTTACGCGACTTCAACCGGTCACCCAAAAGTTATGAAGCTTGCCATAGGTGAAGTAATTTTCGTGATCAGTTCAATATTTCCGAAGATCGCCCATTACAAACAAACAAACAAAGTTAGAAGCTTCATCATTTTATAATAGTAGTATAGATTAGATAACACATAAATTTCTAAGATTCCAAGATGAGCGGCTAAAGCATTCGTATTGTGGAATGTCTGAAACCACTGAAAACACGTGACAATATAGAAAATTTCATCTTTTATATAAATCCGACAGGGAACTGAACTCAGAACGTCAGGTACGGTGTCGGTGTACAAACCGGTGTACTAACCACTCGGCCACAGAGATCGTCGATAAATATGAATAGCTTTAGTTTAGAATATGATATAATACTTTGTTCATAATAACTGGCGAATCGAGAACACATCAGTCTTATTATGTAAAACTAACTATTTGCCCGCGACTTCGCCCTTGTAAATTATAATAACCTAGAGAATTACCCGCGTGTGACGTAGCTACCCGTAAGTGAAAGAATTTTTAAAATCGGTACATTAATGTTGAAGCCTTCATTGTATTCAATCAAACAAACCAACAAACATACTTTTACAACCAAAGCCTTTGTTTTTATTGACAGTAAATTAAGCATTTTAGTATTGGTTGCACAATTTGAATTAGGGTTACTATTTGATATAAAATAATAATTATTATAAAAGACTTTTTCAATGAATTATTATTATATTTATCAATGAATATGTGTATATTTTTTATAATACATATTTTGTTTTATTACGAGTATTTATGTAAATATTTAATCAATTGTTTGATTGTTGTAATTTTATTAAGTGGGACAATTTTTTTTGCATCCCAGAGATGGGACCACGACCTCTCTAACCGTGACTCTAGCCATATACATCTTAGTGATGTTATTGCAATATTTCGTACCGTTACCTACTTTAACATCTACTTTAGATTTGACAGCAGTGTTACCAACTTAGACGTTTATCCACGAAAGGGTATATCAAAATAAAATGATGAGAATTTTTTCTCGTGGCAATATCACCATAATATGGCCAACATATCGTTTTCTACATACAGAGTTAGGCGGGCGGTAGGGTAGTTAGCTATAACTCTAGCCATAGCTATACATTTTTTATTGAATTTATCAGTGATACTCATTTATATTCTTTAAAAATGTTTTTCTTTTATTAATTACATATTTAATCAATGATTTTCGTTGTTTGCTGTTTTCTGAATTATATATTATAAAAAGTATATCATAATAAACAAATATTAGCGTATTCTTTGTTAAAGCGTTATAACGTTCTCACAGTCAGCTATAAGAAGGTAGAGCTGAGGATAGAGTTATAAAATGAAACAAAAAGTCGCCATAGTATCGCTATGGTTTTAGATATAGCTAGAGGGTTATGCGGACACTCTGCTGGTGTGCGACCGTTACGGGAAAATAGTGTCTTATATAATGAGACTGAAATGTGTTATTGATTTGTCAGTTATGAATTCATTCATCATCATCATCATTAGCCCTTTATTTCGTCCCCACAGCAGGGGCTCAGGCTTTCCTTATGGATGGTTAAGGAGCATGGGCCATGACCGTCCACGCTGGCCCAATGCGGATTGGCGGATATTAACGACTACAAATGCAGCCGGGACCGACGGCTTAGTTCGAGATAATAATTTTTTGGTCACCCATCCCTTGACCGACCCTTGCGAAAGTACCTTAACGACAACGATCGCAGGCCACGGCGTTTATCTACTACGCCACCGAGTTATGAATTCATTGCAGCAATCATTATCCTAACATTACATTCTTAGGTGTATATGTATATATATGTGTTTATGTATTTATTTATGTGTTATATATCTATTTATATATTTATGTATGTGTGTGTGACTATGTATGCTTATATATTTATAGACAATTTATCTGCTTAACCACTAATGTTTTTCGTAATAATAGGGACATCTTAATGCACAATACACTATCTAATTTTTCAATAGGGATGATGACTGGGTAAAAAAAATGCAATTCTATTTAGTCCGTCAGTCAGATAATAGAAAAATATTAGATACTTTTTTTTTTACTTCAATTTAACAAGAAAAAGTATAGATAACAGGCATTAAAGTTGAGGAGTGGGGGCTAGCTACGTCACAGTTGAGTAGAAAACGTACTCTAACGTGACGTCATACGAAATTTCAACTCCATGTAACGCCGTAATTTTATGATTACGAAAAAAATAAAAAATACGTGTTTAATATTTTCTAACACTCTACCTGATGGACAAACAAAAAAAAATTAGTCATCATCCCTATTGTATCCTGTATATTGTGTTAAGGTTGCCTGGAAGAAATTGCTTTTTAACAATAAGGCCGCCAATTGTACTGCCTGTTACATTACTATGTACTATTAATTTACTTATGGTGTATACAATAAAGAGACTTTCAATCATTCAATCATAAACAATAGTGTCATATCAAATTCTAAAACTATTCATATTTATCAACGATCTCTGTGAAAACAAATGAAACGAAATATCGCCATAACATATCTAAGATGTCGTATTTAGTTGAATGTGGCTTGGACCACTGGCTAAAGATTTAGGTGGTCTTCGGTTTTCGAAAGGACATTTTATATATTCTACTTTTTTATAATTTCAAACTAAAGATATCCTTTTTTAACTTTCTACGAAGGCGATGCACGGCAACCGGTCAACTCAAAAGTCATATTTCGCGTGGTTCGCCCCGTTTCGGCCCGCCTTGTTATCAGGGCGGATTCTGCGGGTTGGGACGGAGGCTCAGGATCACTTAAACCCGGCTCCCTAGACAGGACGAAGACGCGAGATGCCCGGCACCGCGCAAACCGAAATAAAGATATCCTGCTCTTACCCTTCTGATTTTTTTTTATGGACAGAAACCACAACATGAATGATTATTATTAAATCTAGGAGATTATCCAACGAAAATTTGGTCAATCTTTGATGTCCACCAATTATCTTTTTCTATTACTTGAGGAAATTTTAAGGGTTTAATTATGTGTGTTTTTGTAGCTTTACCAAGTTTCGAAAATAATAATAATAATATTTATTAAAAAAAAATTACATTGGTTTTCAAACTCAATATTGCAATTTAGTAGCTCCTGTGCCTGGTTTTCTTAGGCTCCAGCGCTCCTCCCTCATTATAAATTTACAATATTTGATGGTCATTAATATTTAAATCCATATGCGATACGAAACCAATTAAAACTATTATTTTTAACTCAGAACAGTTTGAGTCTCAATTAGACAAAAAAGTTATCAAAAAAACGTTCAACCTATATTAATATTAAAGGTAAAAAAGGAAACATTTTATTGTTTGTTTATTTGTATTAAATAGATCGATTACATTTTTTTTTTCATATATTTAGGCTGTTATTTACGCGGGCGAAGTTACGGGGAAACACACATTTTAGTGTAAGTTGGAAGACCTAAGCCCTTGGAAGGAAACATAAAAGGGCTGATGATGATGATAAAATGTTGCAAGCTAAAAACTCACTTCCCGATTTTTTATTGAGCTCAGACTATGTATGAACCTGATGATAGAGCCGCAGCGCCGGTCCAATGAATATGGGCCTAGGTCAAAATAAAAACATTTTTAATTAAAAATGCTTAAAAAATCCAATTTGTCCCTGGCACTCTGAGATGGGACTCGAACCTTTCGCAATTCGGGCCACTGCTCTAACCACTGAGGTACCCAAGACCAAATAGGACTGTCGAGCTTTTCAAGTACATGATACTTTTTATTACTATAGAGCATATTTTCTAACAGAAAAATACAGATAAAATAGAGCTATTATTTTCCTAACTATACAAGCCTAAACTTAACAAACCCTACATCTCAATCAAAACATGTGACTTGATCGATTTGCTGCAACAAAACTAGTTCTTGTAAACGGGCAGAGTTTGTCTTTACAAACAGCAGAGGATCACTATACTTTTATAGTGATCCTGTGCTGGACATGAATGTACAAACTTTTGCGCGCGACCTACCAATTCAATTCCAATCGACACTCCAGCTAACTGAAAAGCATCTTATACTACACTTACTGGTTTTGGACATTGTTATTGTGTACTTGGACATCCATAATGACAGATACATAGAGGCATCTTCAGTACTTTGATATAACGGTAGTCTGCTTGATAAAAC